GCGATGTTTCATGTTTTGGGTTGATCATCATATGATGATATTTTTTTTAAGTGCAACTTCACTGTACTTTTCAGCGAGTTGGTGCTATAACCATCCCTCTTGTTTGGTAGACTTGAGGCTATCCCTTTTTCTTCCAATTCTCTTCTAACATTTCTGTTTCTACCTTACTTTTGCTACTTGTTATCTGGTCGAATGGTTGTACATTTGTCCTTCCGTGATAAGTTTCAATTTCCTTGTTAAAAAAAAATACTTGAATGCTTCTTCGAATTTTTTTCTGGTTAAGTAGGGGCGAGTGTAACGGTTTCACCGTCCGATCGTATTTATTAAATCACTTCTCGATTATCATTTCATTAATCCCATCTCTAGCTTTTTTACTTGGAAACATTCCCACTTGGAGCGCGCTTGATGCGGAGTTCCTGATCTGCGATCTTCCTCGCGCTTCTTTATGACTTGAGCCGCCGATCTAGCAAGAGCTAAGAATTTTGTTCTCTGTAGCATGAGGTCATATAGCACCATGTGCTAGAATTTTGTAGAATGTGTGTCCGAATAGACAAAATGGTGAGTTTTATAATACTATACAGTTTTATTGCTGGGTCTGCCTGTAGTTTATAGATAGTCGATATGTAAGTGGTTTATTTCTTGTACGATTTTAAAATATCCATCGAACGTCATTTTCGACTACTTCGATCATTCGCCATAACTTTAATCAAATCGAGGTAGAAATCGATCCACATCGATTTTACCTCTGTTTGCGTATATGTATTCATCATAGTTCAGTGAAATTATGAGTACGTTGATATGAATATTCGATATTTGTGTTTTTATATCAGAAGCATGTGGAGAAATTTTTGATGACCACCATCTTGTTTTACGCTTTTTTTTGCTATTTCATGATTTTATTTTATGAAAGGTATTTCCAATTTTCGGTTTGATTCTATCAAACTATGTAATGTAATTCTAACCTAGAAAATCGTTGGTTCTCTTTTGAGGCAGACTGAGATTGGAAATGCCTTGGCCATTAGGGCACGTGGCAATGCAACGGTTCTTTTCCAGATTGGGGCCACCACCTTTCCCTTTCCCCTTTGCCTTTGTCTTTGACTTTTGCCTTTGCAACCTCATGTAGTCCTTGCTTTTGCAGTGCTTGGCCTATCACTTCACCCATGCATGTGCCTTGGCAGCGCCATCACCTTTAAGTTCACCTTCGCCTACAACTGTTTTGAAGCCACTAAATGTGTGGTCACCCCTCATAACTGGGGCCTCCACTTCAAGCACCTGGCCATCCTCGCTTCAGTCCAGTCAAATGGACCATCGAAAGATAAGTGTATAGTTTTATAGCAGCGCCAAAGATTTAAAACTTATTTTGTTCTTTAAATTGTAATGTAATGAAAATGCTTTTTTGTTAATAAAATCTGTTAAATTTTGTGTTCTGTTTGTTCTTCTATCCTCTAGCCATGCCATGGTCGACACACAGCTACACGCCTGTAGATGTCTTCATGCCACCGACTGAGCTACCGGAAACTAATGGTAACCCCCTTTCTGTGATTGTGCAGAAAAGTTGGAATCTTCATTGCATTCCATCTTTTCTGGACTTTTTGCGGAAGGAAGGCTTACAGTTGTTGGATGGGAAAAAATGAGATAAAATCAAAGTAGGATGCTGGTTATGGGGACACTTTGCCATCTATGACCACAGTTAGATATTGGTTCAACGAATTTGAACATGGGCGAACATCCGTTTTTGATGAGGAGCGACCAGGACGCACGGCATACGTGCTTACCGAGGAAATCACTCAAAATGTCCTCGACATGATCTAATCGACGAACGAAAAGGTCCGAAGTAGCAGATGCCGCAGGTGTGTCGACTGGAACGGCAATAAATATAAGTTGGAGATGAAAAAATTGTCAGCCGCGTTTGCTCACGGTGGACAACAACGGATGCGGGTGTTACCTTCGAAGCAGTGTTTGGAGCAATTTAAGCGAAAACCGAAGGAGTTTTTGCGTCGAGTTGTCACCGTTCATGAAACCTGGATTCGTCATTACACACCAGAAGCTAAGCAACATCAAAACAATGGATTCTCCCGGTGAATCTGCTCCAAAGACGGCGAAGACGGTCCCAACGGCCGGAAAGGTCATGGCAAGGATTTTTTGGGATGCAAACGGCGTCATCCTCATGTATTTTTTTGTATAAGGAAGAACGATCACTGGACAATACTACAGTAAGTTATTTGATCGCTTCGACGAAAACGGCCCGCATTTAGCGAAAAATAGGTGCTGATTCTCTACGATAACGCAACAGGTCATTCATCCGAGTTGTCGTCGCCAAATGCATGAATTGCGTTATGAAGAGCTGTTGCAATCCCCGTATTCACCCCATCTGGCCCCCTGCGGCTTTTTCTTGTTCCCTAACGCGTAGAAATGGCTCGCGTTCGACAAATCCTATTTTTTGGAGGAGTTGAATAATGGCAGGGACATTTCGAAAAGTGTATCTTTCTCAAAGGGGACTATAAAAATAAAAATAAAAAATACTAGAAAAAATTGTGTTCATTTATAACACGGGTACTTATTGAACCGCCCTCATAAATATATTTGTACTAACATCAAAAAAGTGATATATACCCCTCCCCCACCCTGTCTACAAACCCCCCCCCACCTATTTTTTTTTCAATTCAGATTTCAGGTTATTTCCAATATAGTTGAAACGAGGAATTTTTTCGGTGACAACAAAATCTTGCCGGAGAAAGATGGCGCCTTGCTTGAGCTCCACGTGTTTTTGAAAATGGAAGAGAGCCCCCTTCATCATCATCAAATAGTGAAAGGCTGAGGATGGCAGACAGCTCTTGGCTCTTTTTCTCAAGTTTATAGTAGAATTATATCAGAAATATGCTATTCCAGCATTTAAGAGGTTTTTCGGTAGATTTGATTTCGCATTAAAATCGGTAGACTAGGACTGGTAACACTGACACCAGACACCGTGAAAAGTATACATCTGACGTCTTACACCTAGGAATTTAATCGCGGCCTAATCGTGAACACTGCTTTTCTCGCTCCAACCAACCATATACGGCAGTGTTTATCATTATAGCGACTCATCAGCAGGATACAGATGGAACAACGAACAAAATCTAATCTAGTACTAAACCAACATCCGGTCTGGGCATTTCGACCATGCAATCCTCGCTTAGTTGACCGAAGAAAAATGTGAAGGACTCGAACGCATCTTCATGCCAGCCTTTTTCAAACATTGGGTTCAAGCGGCTGAGTTTATCCCTTATAAATTGGGGATTGTAGACTTTTGGATCATCTTCTCAACCCTCCCACAGCTTATCAAACACCTGTAGAAAGCACAATAGACCTAAGTTTCTGATACTTGAATACGGCATAGTGCAAATTTATGAAAGTACTACAAGCCTCTTTCACAACGACGAGAAGTCAGCTATCTCTTATCGAAATGACAGAGAACTTTTAAGGTTCTATCGATTTTAATTAGTTCAAAATTCTGTTGAACCTTGCTATAACAATTGCAGCACTTTGGTATTTAGGTTTTGCCTAGGAAAATCTTACCTCGCCCATCAATATATTGAATACCGGAGGTACTCTTCGATTCAGGGTTAAGTACCTGTTTGTATTCACAAAGTACTCTTTTATGAACGGCAAGGTTTTCATACATTGTAAGATCGCGCTCTTAAAACAGCAATTCTTGTAATTTCGGATTCCCGTGAAGCCTCGCCCCTTCACCTAAAATAAAATGAAAAAATGGAGATTATTGTATCGATAATACTCATATCAACGCATTTTCGAAGAAAATGCAAAACCCTATGCTGTAGTTTGACGTTAGCATACATCGTCACAGCCATGTAGGTCTTAGTCATTAGAAGTAGATTCATGACAATTCTGATTCTCAGAACGACGAAAATAGAAATTTCCTAAGTGACTACGCTGATGTATACTGCCGTAGGTAGAAGAAAGTTAATTGTAAAAATCTGAGTCTGAGTAAATTGAGTTCATAATTCTGGATTTTTTGTCGAACTAAGTAAATAATATTATGACGACAGAACAAAAGTGAATGAATATTGCAGGTACATGAGAGAGGCATTTAAATGTGATTTCGGATTATAACTGTTGTTGAGGCCTAAAATAAATGAAATTCCTTATTTTACTGTTGTAAATCAAAAAGCAGTGATTTGTGATTTACTGCAATTATACTCTGCAAAAACAAAATTTACTGCCTTTTTTCGTAGTTTCCATAATCTATTTTTATTATTCTCTCAAAGGAAATCCGCAGTAATACAGAATCCTATTTTATTTTCTTATAATTTATTCATATTGAATTTCATATAAATAGCACCACCTTTTCAACATCAAATAATTCAATTAAAAAATTATGATTACCCATCGAACATTATGAAGCCAAAATAACGTCATTATTCGGTCACTTTTGGTCGGAAACGTCATTGACCCAAAAATGGCGGCTTTATTGAGACCATTTTTTTATGGCAACAAGACGTCCTTTAAAAGTCATTTTGACGTCTTTTTTATGACAGGCAATACTGAAAAATCAACACTTACCTATGAAGAATATATAGGCTTTTAGTGTAAGGTAAACTAGATATCCAAATACAATAACAACTTTATTGTTATTTATAAAAAGTATCAGGAATTCTTCGACCAAAAATATCTTATTAATGTGACTTTTCCAATAATAATATTCCATGTTCAGATATTTCAAATTGACATCTTACATCATATTTTATTCCCGTAAATAGCAAATTTATTAGAAACTTCTCTGTATAATAATAAACAAGTTTTACTAAAATGTTTGCAATCAAGCACGGTCACATAGACGTCATATCGACCTCAGATAGACGTCATATCCACGACATATAGACGTCATATCGACCTTGTATTTGATCTTTTAAACGACATATAATGACGTCAATTGGGTGTGACATTAGACCGTCATAATGAAGTCATCTCTACGTCATTTTTGTTGGGCGGCGTACGTCAATAGCGCCCTAAGAATGCCAGCATTAGAACATCACTATGTTCACTCTGTAGATTTAATAATTTACATTCATTGAAAATAATTGTATAAATAAACTAGCATCTAGCTGCATCATTTCTGATATGTTAAATTAAAGGAAGAATATTTTGCAAAACTATTCTTTCGGAGCGAAAGTAAGATAAATACTTATTCACAAATAATAGAATTATTGCATAAGAAACTAAATAAGTAAACATCATAATAGGTTGTAAAGGGTAAAAAGTATAAGTAAGTACCTGTATCATATAGAAAATCAAAAAGTATAGTTTGAAAACTACTGCTTTTTTGCTTTGATAAATTGATTTACTGCTGTTATGCTTAGGGAATGTAATTATTTTTTGCTTTGATAAATTGAATTACTGCTGTTTTGCTTAGGAAATGTAATTATGAAATATTTGGTAAAGAGAGAAAATAACTATTCCATTGTCAATGATATATTTTTTATTCTAATCAATTTAAAAAAGGCAGTAAATGAACTTTACTATCTTTTACCTAAGTATGGCAGTATAGTTGTAAGTTGTAAGGATAAATTGTTTAGCGCCGCTTTCATCTGAATTGGGCATCTTCTTGTGTAATATGTTCATCAATGTAAGTTCATATATAAAAACTTACGTCTTTTTCTGGTTCTTTGACTTTAGCAGGTTTAAAACTCCTGTCAAAGGAAGGAGGTGGAGAGACATAAGTTGGCACAGCATTGTCCATCGGCTCTGGAGAATTATCTCTCCGTCTATCAGGTGACCTTGAGTAGTCTTGGTTACCCTCATTCCATTGCTCTGGAAGATAAGTTGGTTTTGATGCGCGGGCTTTTAGCAACAGCAATTCTCTGTCACCTTCCATGAGCTTTCGGATTGCCTTCAGACATAGAAAAAACAAAATAAAGGATATTTTTCTAGAGATGAGCAAACTGTTCCGCCCTTGACCCATCTGCAGATACATTCGATGAACATTATTGAAAGTAAAGCATCCGTTATACTTCGCGATGACGGATACCATACAGGACTGCCAGAGAATCAAAGCACATAACGTTAAACCATATTCAGATTATTTTATGCGGCAATCGCGCTCTGATATTGTATAAGAGTTGAAATTGTTGTTCAGCACTGGCTAATTTCGCGCGGTTAAGACGTAATCAGATACCCAAAAGAAGGTTTTAATTAACTCCAAATAAAGGTAAGGCAAAACTTTTGCGCCTAAACATCGAAATGTTTCGTTCTTTCGAGAGAAATAGAAGAAGTCTTTAGAAATGGCCATCCTTTGAACAAAATGCAACGATGAAAATATGCTCGGTGACATTAGAAGTGTGACACCCAGAAAAAAAGATTTCTTCAACTTGATGTTTGGCAATGAGGTAGTCTTACATCAAGAACGAAACAATAACATCTCGATAGGCAATAATTCTACTCCTGCCAAAGTCGCTAACATGGTGATAATTTGAACGTCTTCCAACTCGAGGCATTTTATTCTTAATACTAGTAAATGAAAGGGCAATAACTGAAAATACCTATACTACTCAGGTCTCAGAAGCTGCTTTCTTCCCAAAAACTAAGAGATAACATTTTAACAAAGGTACACAAAACTAAGATGACATTGTCGCCACAGCATGTTTTAAATACGTTATGTTGCCAGAAAGACAAGTTAAAGAAATTATTTTTTCTGGGTGTAAGACTTCTAATGTCACTGAGTAAACATACAGTAAGTGATGTTTTTTAATTTGTAAACTATATAGGTGTTGTGTTGTTTTTTCAATACGTTTCCTTGAAAATCCTTAGCAATTCCATTATTTTTTAATAAAATGAAAGTTCTAGCGTTTATGAGTATTGTTTGAAAAGTTTACAAATGTTCATTCCCTATCAGATATAATGAATAATGTGTATTATTGCCAAATTGTACGTCTTGTTGGGGAAAATGCTGAGATAACTAGATTATATCAGAATATTTACTGAAAATTAGATGAAATCCCGAACAGTAAGCCTAAACAAACGGCGCCGCGACTTCCATGGAGGAAAAGTATTAGCTGAAAATGAAGAAATTCCGAACTGTTACGGCTTGGTCTCACGGTCAACGAACGAAAGCTTAGCAACTATGTGTGCGATCTATCGAAATAAGGCAGGGCGAAGCGCCATCTACCACAGGAATCGATCACTGAGAATAGTGAATGGCAGCAATCGGTTGGGACTAGTGGCGTGTAGTTCTCGAGCGAATCGAAGCAGCTATCCATCCAAATACTAACCGCGCCAGAAGCTGCTTAGCCCCATATAACTGGTTGAAAGCCTCTATCAGTAGTTCAAACGCACGTTAATCGCCGTTGTCGCTTAATATATGAGCAATGCCAGATATACCCCGAAATGATTAAATGTCTGATCCGGTTAGTAGACTGGTTTGCTTCATCATGACAAAGAATCTGTATTCACAATTAGTGGGGATATCATTGAGCAGCAGTACTAACATCCTTTTGTAGCGGAAAATGTCAAAAATGAAGAAAATCAACATCTTAGTATCGGACAAAATTAATTATACCTTTTATGGAATGCAAAATATATTGAATTTTTGTAATTGAGCTAAAAGATTTATGTCATTAAGTAGTCTCAAATGATACTAAAATAAATTCATAAACGTTGTTTCCAAAGATTTATTAGAGAAAACAAAAAAAAAATATAAAAAACTATATGCGACAAAATTAGAAAGACTTATCCTTGAAATACATTTGTATCCTATATTAATGAAACTAAACTAATACTTCGTCCAGTACCCTTTGTTCTCAATTACTTTTTGACATATGTATATTTGGCATCGACCCAATGAGATTGGAAATTATAGCTGGATCCATTAGTTTCCAAGCATTATCAATCTCTTTAAATAACTGAGCACGATTGCTGATAATTTTGGTTCGAATCTGTTTCTCAATTATCTCCCAAAGATTTTCAGTGGGGTTCAAGTCCGGTGATTGCAGTGGCCATTTTAAAACTTGAATTTTATTTGCCCCAAACCATTCCTTCACAAGTTTGGCAGTATGTTTGGTGTCATTATCATGTTGGAATGTAAACTTTAGCGGCATTTCCCATTCGGCGTAGAGCATCCATGGTGCCCTCAATTTTCAAGTCTTTTATTTGCTGGACGATTTACGAACTGCACTCCGTCACTTCCAAAAATATGAAACTTAGACTCGTCACTAAACAAAACCTTGTTCCAGTCCTTAGCTATCCAGTGGCATTGACGTGGTGCAAACATCATCCTAGCAATCACATTTTTTTTATAAATGGAGTTTTCTAGCTGGTCTCCTTGCAGGGAGCCCCGCCTGCACTAATCGCCGCTGAACAGTGTTAGATGAAACTCCCGGAACATCCATCTGAGCCAAAATTTGATTGGCAGATAGCCATGACTTAAACGCTTAATTCTCCTAACCAACTGTGTTGAAGTTTTTTTTCTCTTCCGACTACCTCTCTGAAGGTTAACAACCAATATTTTGTATTGTTCTTGCAACCATTTGTTTATTTACATGAAATTGCTCTTTTATTAATTTTTGCGATCTGATTTATAAGCTTCAAAAATGTTTTCTTTTAAATCTACGCAATAATGTTTTCCCCTATGCATTGCTAATAATTTTCTCTGTTGTTTCAATCCAACACTTGACCAACTACACTTTAGCGAAACTAAATACAAAACGAGTCGCTCTAATTTTGTCGCAGGTATTTCTTTATTAACCCTTTGAGCCCGAAATTAATTAAAATTCACAAACTCCTAAAATTTATTGAACAATGAGTTAAAAATAGTACAAATAAACCTCTAAAACAAAGTACTCTCAAATAAACATGTGAATAGCTATCCTTCAGGACGTGGTCACCAACGCTAACCACCAGGAACTAAGGTACACTTCCAAAAAAGAATTAAAAAAAGTTATCTTTTGTGAAACAGTGAGAAGCAGTTTCTATCTTTATTCAAGCATAATCCCACATGACACGTCGAACACTTCCATATAGTTCTATGTGGATTATCAAGTGTACTGCAGTGGGAGTATCTAAGAGATGTTGATCTTTCAGGCATGTGAGAAGCCTTACAGTATCGTACTTCATAGGGTACCACCTTCTTGAATCTATTTACAGTAGGTGCAAAAGATGGTCTTCCTCATTTAGTGGGTCCTATTACTCCAATGAGACCTCGTGCCAAAGACAGTCGAATTTTTTTCAGAGTTAATCCCTTAGAGTTACTTCTTAGCTGGAAGAGTATAAAACTGTTTACAACGCAAGCATCTAGGAAGTAGAATAGAATTCTATGCCACCACTTATGTGCTTTCCTGTTAACTTCATAGAGACTTTTCAACATATCAAAGCGATCCACATAGCCCATATGGGCATTGTATTCACAAACCATCTGGGGACATGGTATATCCTCTGGAGAGCCGTCTTTTCTTTTTCTAGATGCTGTATCTAAAACAGAGGGATCATTGTGATTTCCCAACATAAGTATGCTACGCCGGTCTACCCATTTCAGGGCAACTAAACCATCTTTGGAAATATGCCAATCGGCTTCACCACGTTTCATATCCTTGTCTGACTTGAATTCAGGACAGTGCTTTCTACCCTTTCGTAAGGTACCACAGGAGTATATTTTATTGTTGATCAACTGTCTTTGTAACTCGACAGAATTGAAAAAGTTGTCAAAGTAAATCTTGTGGTTTTTTCCAACCAAGTTTCTACTTAGATCTATAACAACTCTCTCTCCTAATTTCTTTTCTGGAGCGTGATCCACCTTGCCGGTATAGATTTGAAATTCACACATGTATCCACTGGAATCTGCTCTGACCCAAACCTTATAACCGCGCTTTATAGGTTTCATTGGCATGTACTGTCTGATACTGCTGCGGCCTTTGAACCGTATCATTGATTCATCTACTGACTGAAACTCATTTGGCTTTAGTGAAGAAAGAAATGTCTCTTGTAATCTGGAAAAAAGTGGCCTCACTTTATAAAGTTTGTCATATGGTGACTGATCCTTTTTGGGCTGTACGGAATTATCATTGAGGTGAATATTACTTAGTAACCATGCGAAACGGTCTCTGGAAATACAGCCACTAATAAATGAGTCTCTGAGCACTTCATCTGACGACCAGTAATCTTTATAACTGGGTAGCCTTTTTACACCCATCAGCAAATTTACAGCGAAGAAAACTTTGATTTCATTCTTCGTTGTAGGAACGAAGTTTCTTCCATCGCCAAATTTCTGTACACAATATAAGTTTGTTTGAAAAACAATATGGTCGGTGAGGTCTTCAGGAAATAGGTGCAAAAAAAACGTCCGTAGGTGTTTCAATGATATCAGGCAAATTAGGGCCAGCCTCTTCTTCAAATTTGCTTGGTTGGTTGATGTATACTGTATCTTTGGTCCAGTAGCAAGGCAGAAATATATCATTTCTTCTAGCTAGTGGAATATCATCGTCACTTTCCCACTGCGCATTGTCTAAAGAGCAGTTTCATCTTCGATCAAGTCCTCAAAAATGACATCCATATTCCGAAGATTGAAAAGATCATTATTTAGGTCAGCATTTTCTTGAGTAATGGGTATTTCATCACTCATAACAGCGTCCAGATCATCTAGTACTGACTCATTATCACTAGGTACCTCGTCTACATCCTCTACAATTTTATAAATATCAGCTAGGCTCATACTTTCCAATTCAGCGATCGACCATTTTTTGTTCGCTGAAAAGAATGGGTCACGTAAATGAAACCAGGAAATATTAGTTGACATTAAAAATTGTCACAAAGTTACACATAAATAACTTTTGTCAAAAAACAAAAGTTGGGTACTTTCCTAGTGGTTACTACACAAAACCACCGTAAATAATGTGATATTTTGCGAATCAGAAATCAGATGCGTGCAAAATTCGACCATAATAAGCCATATACACAGATTATTTGTACTTACCAGCCATTTTTATACACTTTTTCACCAAAGAACTACTAATTGATCTATAAAATCTTCACCCTGTACTAGGTGTTAACCTACTTGGACATTTGACGTTATACGAAGCAGGAATACGCACCAAATATAAGTTTATTTCGTTTGTTTCCGCTGAATACAGGTTCAGCATGCATTAGGCAAGACGTTACACACTATGGTTAGCCAGGGATACCGCTAGGAAAATAGCAAAATGAGCTTTGAAAGATGGTTTTTGGTGCTAACCAGTGGGGCTCAAAGGGTTAATACAAAAAACACTAACATGAACATACCATCAGGTATAAAAATAAACTGTTGATAATGAAATTCTTTTGGTAGCCGGTAATACAATGCTTAGCAAAATTTAATATTATTTTAAGTATAGAAAACTGGAATGGACTAATAGTACAGTATCTCTTATTAAATAAACAGAAAACGTAAATACACCGAAATTTCACTATGATAGTAAACAAACTATCATTGTAGGAGAACATTTGGGGAAAAACGAGACATAACGGTTAAAGAAAGACCATTTTCCTGAACGGAGAACATCTGGCAATCCCGATGAAAGGTATATATTATTCGTTAAAAATCTTGGGAACTGGTAAAAAAAAACAAAAGCGTATCTTAAGATTATTAGAAAACGTCTAAATCTCATAGCTACTAAGTGACAAGTTACCCTGGGAATTTAAATTTGAAACGTCCATCTTAATAAAAAACTGAAAAACCAAAAAATTCAACAATTTTCCGGCACGGTTATACTAATCGCGCAGACGCAGCTTAACTCCGACAACTGTTAGCCTTACAGGTAAGGGCGGGCATCAGTGGCGAAGCGTCCATGTAACCATTAACCATAAAAATCTAAAAAATAAATATTTTATGACCAAGTGCTGTGAAATAATTTCATTTATTTGATTACCAACAGCGATATGTAATAGTAATTCAGTAAATAGCAACTTAGCCCCACGAAAATAATGCGCCCTATAGTGTCTAGGTTTTGCGAATACGATGAAGCTGACTCGCCCCGACTTGGTTGTCGGTTGTTACCATTTTCATTTATGGATACACTTGGTAGTCTGTCGGGGATCGTCGGTTCCGGCTCGTGTCTGATCGCGGTCACCCGAGCGCGTGGGGCGCTGCGACTATTATGTGGGCTTGTTACCATTTTTTGATTTGATTACTCACTTCTCACTCGTTAGTAGCCGTTTTGGTTACCGGTTGTAGTGTGCGTGCAATTAAACATGGATGAGTGTCGCTGCGTAATCGATCAACTACTTGAAAAGTCATTCTCCTTGTATAATTTTTAAGAAGAAAAAGGAGATCATTGAAGATGGAAGACCAACACCTATTTTAGATAATTTTAAAAAGCAATAAAAAAACGTAGTTTGATATTTTAAATTAAGTTGGTATATGGAAACTCTTGGTTATGTGGTTGCAAAAAAACAGATTTTATTGTTGGCGATGTGATCTGTTTTATACAGAAAAAAATGGGTGGACCAGCAGCGGAGTCAACAATTTAAATAATTTTAGAGCTCTAAAGGGGAGACATGAAATTTCTCCTATACATGTGAGATGTGTAGCCAATTTAATTCAGTTTGGCAAAACAAGAATCGAAAGTTGTCTTAACCAAGCTTTTAGGCAGCACACTTCTAGATACCGCATGTTTTTTAGCAAAACAGAAATCACCGTTCATTTTGAAGGGGATGACTCTGACAATAGAGGAAATTACAGGCAAAACAGATAAAAAAATTGCCGAAGATCTAGAAACGTCGACTGTTTTTTCGGACGGCTTGGATTAGTCATAGCATGAGGTATATCAAATGAACCAGACGCTCAGTCCAGGACTGTTTACCTTAATTTAAAAATAGTTCAAATAAAATATCTAAGATAAGCAAAAACTTATATTTGGGAGGTTCAAAATAAACTTTTTTAATAAGATTTTTCACATCTGGTTTTTGGTAACCCTTTAGGAAAAGTCACGCGTCGCCACTGGCGGGCATTATTTCATTAAGCAATAATAAATGAATAAATTACCTCGCGTTCCTCAACCGACATATCTTGCGGCTTCATGAAGTCCGTCGAAGCTGCAGGGTTAATGTTTCCTTTGTTGTATTCCATTGGAAATCGATGCTCGGAAATGCTCGTGTAAGTGCCACTAGATACACCTGGCTCCTTGGCAAAGTACGAATTTTTCGGCAATGCCCCTTCTGAACGTATATTACGCAATTTAAGCGCTACTTCATGGTCTTCATCTTCTGCGGAGAAGTCCCTCTCTACAGGTTTTGCTATGTTGCCCATAGAATATGCCGAATCAACCATGAGGTTTCTATGAAGTCCTCCTGAGGCTGAACCAGGATATTCCACTGAGTCTATATCCAACAAATCGTCGATCTCCGAGCTTTGCTTAGCGAACAAACAACCAGAATTCTCTACTTCTGAAGGATAACATTGAACGAACTCTTTTAAACCGCCATCTAGGATAAATGGGAGCTCCCGGTAGCTTCTGTTGCAGTCCCACTGTAAACAAAAAGTTAAATTAGAATTCTAGGGTTTTTCAAACAAATTCACAATTTCACAATACTCAATGACGAAGAAAATAGAACACATTTACGGTATCGTTAGATTTCGCAAATGTGTTGGGCCAGGACCACCTAGATGTAGTATACACTAGCTCTTCTTCCGATCAACCGACACATGTTCAATTGGATCTAGGAGGCCAAGGAAAGAGGTAAATTTGACCATTCCGGGGGTAGACCACTGTAGTTATAGCAATATGAGGACGGCCATTATCTTGTTGCGAAACAGGGTTTTCAAGTGTTTGAAGAGATAGCAAAAAATGGGATTCTAGTATTATCTGGATATACCGTCATAGTTCACCTAATGGTAGCTAGAAGTGACTTGACATCATGTTTAATGGCAGCCAAAGCTTTAACCTTAATATCGTTCTGCCTGCTTCTTTGATATACTAGATCTCGAGACCTTTCGTCCATTAAACATGTTGGGATATGATGGAAAGTAAAGTAACTTCTTGTATACCTCCAGAAGACGTAAATCACCTCATCAGAAGCATACATTATTGCGAATCCAGCAATATAGCAAAACGTTGCCGCTTCAAAATGTGATCACCGCTTTCCCAGAAAACTGGACATTTGCTCATGCCCAACCTATTCAAAAAAAAAGATCTAAGGCCGACCATTACAACTACATACATGTAGCTTTGCTTTCTGTTATAAGGTGATGGAGAGGTACATAAACCGGGAGCTTCTGGAGTACCTCGAAGGTCTCGGCTTGATCAGCGACAGGCAGTATCGTTTCCGGCACCAGCGATCCACAGAGGACCTCCTACCTTACGTCACGCAACTGTGGAGTAAACTCTATGGTGACAGAAAGATATCCGTAGTAACTGACGGGTTCTCCTCTTCATCCCAAAAGTCAACGCGGGTGCTCCCCAGGGATCGGTCTTGGCTCCGACACTGTTGCATTTCAAATCTGACCAACGATTGGGAGAAACGTCATCTGATTTGAAAATCAAGTATTTAATAAATCTCCTCTGTACTTTCAATTTCACTAGTATAGATTTGGTAATACGGATGCCATGCGCTTGATGCATATTCCAGCTTAGAACGCGCCAAGGTACAGTATAAAGCCTTAGGTGCCGTCTCACTACCAAATGCTTCACAGTTTCTTATACAAAAAAAACGAGACTTTTCATAGCGGATGATACTATTGTATTAATATGATCTGTAAATTCTAATTTAGCATCAGACAAGATATCCGTAGTAACTGACGGGTTCTCCTCTTCATCCCAAAAGTCAACGCGGGTGCTCCCCAGGGATCGGTCTTGGCTCCGACACTGTTGCATTTCAAATCTGACCAACGATTGGGAGAAACGTCATCTGATTAGAAAATCAAGTATTTAATAAATCTCCTCTGTACTTTCAATTTCACTAGTATAGATTTGGTAATACGGATGCCATGCGCTTGATGCATATTCCAGCTTAGAACGCGCCAAGGTACAGTATAAAGCCTTAGGTGCCGTCTCACTACCAAATGATTCACAGTTTCTTATACAAAAAAAACGAGACTTTTCATAGCGGATGATACTATTGTATTAATATGATCTGTAAATTCTAATTTAGCATCAGACAACACCCCTAGATCTCTCACTTCTAAACAACGCATCAAACTGACACATTCCAGTGTGTAAGCAAAAACTTTTGGGTTCGTTTTCCTGGTAAAAGAACAGGTCTTGCACTTGCTAACATTCATCAGTTCAGTTCTGCCAAAAATGCCGTTCATTTCGGATGGTCAGAGTTCAGATCACAGAGGACTTGATGTGGCACGAACACATCTCGTTAATAGCGGCAATTGTTGAGAAAAAGCTAGACCATTTGTTTAGGGCTAATAAGTACTTTTCTCCTCAAGACCTCCTCACTCTGTATAAGGCCCACACAAGACCTAGCCTCTAGTACTGCTCACATCTTATGGGATTTGCTCCCAGAGCTCTCCTCCATGATGCGGCCGAGCGATGTGCCTGCCAGACAGACCCGCCTGACTACGGCCTCCCATCCTAACCGTATCGAGCTTCGTATATACTGAACTGACCGATACGACCGCTTCTTTGTCTCCAGGGTATCGAAATTGTTGAACAATCCACATGAGAAGAACTTTTCCTAGTTCTACTAACCTTAGGCAGTTCAAGAATTGGACTAACAAAGTTTCTTTAAGCTCATCGTGGCATTTAGGCTTCTGCCTTAGCGGCTGCTTATTGTAAACAGATACCTCCCCTTTGCCCTGTCTAACTGTATACAAAATTTCATTCAATACAATCATTTTTCCTGGCTGTTCTATTTTCTTTATCTCTGAGTATATAACAGTACACACAAAATAATCAAAATTAATGCTGCAGTTACTGAGATGAGAAACTTACGAAAACATTAATGAAGATTAGATTCTTGCTCAGATACTCAGACCATTTAGTTTAGTTTAAAATAAACCGAAACGTCAAAGAAAATGTGAAAATGTTTTCATTAATAATAATAATAATAATAATAATAATAATCTTTATTGGTTCTGTAGATCATTTATCATGAAATCATCAGTGGTAAAGGTACTCTATCTTGAAAAGTATCAAAAGCATTCCAAAAATAGATAGATAAAACCAAAAACAATATACCATACATATGAAATATAGGACAGCCACAAAAACAATGAGCAAAGAAATACAACACAATACCTATTAAAATAAGGATTGGCCAAGTTAACAATATATCAATGAATAAATAAGTAAATAAAATACAAAAACCATAAATAATATGCTACAGTTGAAAATGTATATATGTATATATAATAGTACACTTTGCGTCTTAATCGAGCTTTAAGTTTATGTCTAAATAATGCCACTGGCAAGATTTTAAAAGTGTTTGGCAATTTATTGAACAGCCTAATACACATTTGATTTGGGCTGAATTCTGTTCTCGACAGTCTATGAGCAGGAATCTGCAGGACAAGCGAATTCCTAGTTGAGTACTCATTATGGTCGTTTAACTTTGGAAACATACCCAATTGACTGAAATCATTATTTCGATGAAGATTATTTATTCATAATCACATCTACGTTCCAAGGTAAGATCACCCCCCCAGCTTGTCTCGTAATTACGGATAGGATTTCGTATTCTCAGAATATGTTAATTGATGCTAAAACATACCTCAGTTATGAATATGCGTAGTCAGTGTAATTTCGACAATCCATAGGTAAACTTTGTTGTGTCATAATCCAAAATGACAATGCAGTCGAAGCTATCTCGCTTATCCCAGATTACACAGGTCACTGGTGGCAATTTAAGCCCTAGCGTATTTGCGAAAAGGCTGAAATTAAAATTTAGCTAATTACAGAATGCTGAAAGATGCTTGCACACGATATGTGGAATTTTGGAGATCGGTTAAGTTTCCTCGAAATTTGTTATGCAATTTTTCACTTCTCATCTTCACTTACCCTGGTTGAATGAGTTCGGGTGGAATATTAATCATGCCTCCTGCATTTTTTTCTTGATTCTAGTTTGATCGTATTCGTTAGTTTGTCGAACGTCTACAATTAACACGTTCATGTCGTCAAGGCGTTTGTAAAACTCCTCAGGTGTAAGGAACAATCCTAGAATATAAACTTTCTGATTACCAGAACACAATTAAACATTGTAAAGGACTGGTCTTGCGAATGCGCCCGTCATATTGGTATACCAGGTCTGTGAATTAAGTAATGAGTCTTTTTCTCTTCCCAAAGTTGAAAAATCACTCAAGCGAAATCATTTTGGGATACTCGAAAACACTCGAACGACTGTAATCGACAGAATCCGGAATGTTGTGCGTTCAAATCGACGGTTGACAGACAGAATGATTGGGGAAGAGTTAAATTGGACACACAAAACTATTCATAAGATCAAGAACAACTGGGTGTAGCAGCACTATAATGCTCCTAGTCACACAGCAATGTCAATAAGCGAGTTTTTGGACATTAAAAACATTCATGTTTCTCCTCAGCCTCGTTATTTGCCCGACTTGAGCCCTTGTGACTTTTTTCTCTCCCCGAAATAATTGAAAAATCACCTCAAGGGAACCCATTTTGGGACTCTCGAAAATGCTCAAACGGCTGTAACGGACCAGGCTATTCCAGTATCGGAGTTCCAGCACTGCAATGAGGAGTTGAAGAACCATCTACAGCACATCTACAGCACTGTGTGACTTCAGAAAGAAGTTATTTTGAGGGTGAAAATATACAATTGCAATTATATTTAAATCGAAGAATTTTAAAAAATTGATCTCTACTTAATTTACAGACCACGTACACCCTAGCGTCTCCAAGTTTCCCTTAGAAGTAATAAAAACAAGCTTTATTTTCCTTTTGAAGGAAATTGTTTACTCCTTATCATGGCATCAAGCTCCCTAAGATAAATCACTTCACGTAATTATCCGTAAAATTCCATACTCTCAAAATTCCTCAATTCCGCAACCATAACTCCCGGCAACATTTACGCCACAAGGCTGTGGTCGACAGGTATACATAGTGATCCAAGACCCGGAATGGCAAGGTATTTGAGAATATTAAAGGTAGTATAAATAAAACAGTAGGGATATAATATGTTTTACTAGCTATCCAGTGGTGCCCTTCACTTTGACTTTGAAGATCAAATCAAGGTCAAGCCATTTTTTAATATGATCCGAAACTTTCGACCCCGAAAATGTATAGAGCTAAATAGTGCAGTTATGACCTCGTATGGAAATTATGTTGACCTTAAACTTCCTCATCAAGGTCATCATAAAAAAACCTTGGTTCAAAGGAGTGCATGGATCTTTGTAAATACAAATCCTCATTTCCTTCTCAACTTATTCACCGATGACCTTGAAACTGAGCTTCACCACGACCTTGAAAGTCAAATCAATTATCTTTAATTATACTCCATATTTTTAATCTCAAACAGATAAAGCTGAAAAATTCAGATTTGACTTTGTGTGTAAATTATTTTGATCTTAAACATCCTCGTCAAGGTCATCGTAAAAAAACCTTGTTTGAAAGGAGTTCATCGATCTTTCTGAAGATAAAACTTCAATTTTTCTCAGGCCATTCACTGATGACCTTGAAACTGCGCCTCACCACGACCTTGGAGGTTAAATCAACTTTCTTCAATGATACTCTATATTTTTAACCTCAAATAGATAAAGCTTTAAAATTCAGATATGTGTAAATTGTGAAAATCCTCGTTTCTAAAGAGTTCATGGATCTTACTTAAGATAAAACTTCAATTTTTCTTACGCCATCCACAGGTGATCTTTAAACTGAGCTCTATCATGACCTTGACAATCAAATCAATTTTGTTCATTGGTACTCAACAGTATTAACCCCGGAAATGGAAAGGAAAAATTCACGTTCAGTTGTAGCCATGAGTGAAATTTGTTTGAACGATGTACGACCTTGTCAAATTCAGCGCAAAGACATCTGATGACAAAATTTCAGAGATGTTTCTAAAAACTAAAAAAAAAAACTTCCTGGTGATCTTCAATCTTACCTTGGTTGTCAAATCAAACACTTTTTTGTATGATGCAATATATGTTTGATCCGAGAGACGGATAGAGTGAAAAAATTACTTTTAGACATGACCCATTTCCATTTCGGTTGAATATAGTCGCTATCCAGAACAATCGAAGACTGGTCTGAAAGCGTAGAGTTTAAAAATAATTCTTAAGTCGAAAATTTTATTTTGGTTCTTGCCTACAGTAAATTCACCAAAGCATATTCAATACTACACAGCAGTGTAACTTCTGATAATAAGAGGAGTTCGTGCATTGCATGCGTTATGTCTCGAAGCGTGTGCCGAGCAGAAATATTCACTTGCAGGGAAATGCGAAACTGCACGGTATTAGATACTAGGGTTTTACTACTCAACTTGTACAGGGTGTCCCAGAATGTGACCGACTAATTTAGAACATAAAAATTAGTCGGTCAAGTTCCTGTAAAAATTTCCTAATATGAACCGCAGCTGTATAAATTACCGAATTTTTGAGAATATCCTATCATGACCAATTATTATACAGGGTGTAGAAAAAATTAACGATATTGCTTAGGGTTAGTGCCTCCCTGACTATATAAAAAGTCAATTGTTTTCTATGGACACATCGTTTGAGGCTCTAATTGGTTACAAAACTGTCAATTTTTTGTTAATGATGTAAAGTTATTTGGAAAGTCAGTGGCATAGCTTTTAGGAGCCTAAACCTGCCTAAAGGAGACACCCTGTACATAAGTATAAGTTTACTGAGTACTGAGTTTACAGTGGCAGGTGAAAATACCATTTTGGTAATTCTCATTCAATAATAACAAGATTTATAGACAATTTTGCTCTTCTGTCAAGGTCTGAATTAACCTTGCTACTAATTCATCATAAAAGTATGGATATGGAGGAAATGAGCCTTTGACCTCAATTTTCAATATCATGTTAATGTTATGTTTTTCATTTAATGACAAATTGAATAGTGTATGAAATTCCATGCTCAGATATGTCCTTGAATAATCTGACCTTCAAATGAGCTTGAAGGACAAAGTTGAATTATAATAAGGTAAGGAATCCCAGTAACAAAATACTTTGTTTATCTCTAGTAACATTAGTTTTGGAACACTCTTCTTTCAGGCGAGTATAGGCATCGACCTCAAGGGTTCAGGGTAATATCTCACAGAGGACCAATGCAAGATGTTTTACTATCATGATCTAACATTACATTTTGAATGATCATGGCTTTATTTTGATTACTCTGCTTTCGATAAAATTAATTGTTCAGTCATGAGGAAGAAGATTGAAACAGCCAGGAACAACATCAACTATTCTATATAGCAATCAAGACGCAATTTAAAAGTTACGCCAAATAATACCATTCCAATTAACTGCGGAGGCTTTACAAAACAGAACAATAGATTAACTGTATCCCATGTCAATGTTAGGTCACTAATCCCAAGCTTCGATATGTTAGCAGGCACCATACTAGAACAAGATTTCCACATCATAGCGTTAACTGAGACTTGGCTTTCTTCAGACTTCCCCTCTGATTTGATTTCTCTGCCTAACTACCAGCTTATAAGAAACGATAGAGAAGGAAGAGGTGGTGGTGTATGTTTTTACATCCAGTCTAGCATAAAGTACAGAATTATAGATCTTCGGAATATTCCTTCAAATGGCATTGAACATCTTTGGTTGTCACTAAAATTCGAGAGCAAGAGTATTGCAGTAGGTGTTATCTACCGACCACCGTCCAGTCGACTGAACATTCTATCTGATTTGGAAAATATCCTTGCCTTTATATACGTCACACATGATGAAGCAATACTATTGGGCGATACCAACATCGACCTCACCGATGAGCATGCTGGTCAAAGCAAACAATTTTTGCAAATGATGTCTCTATTCAACATGAACCGCGTAATTAATGAACCAACAAGAATAACAGCAAATACAGCAACAATGATCGATATCATTTTTACAACAAATACACTCACTGTTTACGAGTGTGGAACTCTAGACATGCCAGAAGTCACTGATCACAGATAGTGCTTCTGTAAGTTGGAAATTGAAACTCCGAAATACACACCTGCAATATTTTACTACAGAGATTTCTCGCATTTCGATCACGTTGAGTTTGCCAACGATGCTGCTTCTGTGGAATGAAGCTACATAGATGGTTTACCAAGTCTTGATGACAAAGTTCTTCACATTACCGAAACTATTATTATGCTCTACAATATACATGCCCCATTAAAAAGAATTACTTCACGTAAGAACTACAGACCTTATGTGACACATACAATCAAGTGTATAATAAATTTGAAGCGGAAAGCATACAACAAGTTTAGAAGAACCAGAAATAAAGAACATCGTGCATCTTATAGTGATCTAAGAAATTATTTAGGAATAGCTTTGAAGAATGAAAAAACAGCTTACATAAAATTCCAGCTTAATAAGTACTATAATAATCCTAAACAGATGTGGAATAGTTTCTCCAGGTGGAATATACACACAAAATCCAGTAAACACATATCACAAGACCTTGAAAACGCTGAAAGCATCAATAATCACTTTATTAACTCTGTACCAAACCTTCAGCCAGATGACTTATTTCTTAACACATTCTCATATCAAAAAAATTCTATAGTATGCAAGTCTTCATTTAATCATGTTACATCAGACCAAGTTGAACTAAAACTGAAAGAAGTCAAGTCAAATGCTGCGGGTGTTGATGGTATCACTACAAACATGTTGAGAAACGTGTTCTCTTTTTGTAAATATCAGCTAACCAGTATCATCAACCAATCACTGAGTACAGGGGAATTTTCTGGCAAATTGTTTTTTTTGCGGTTCTTAGCAGAATGTTTTTTTCCAGTTCCAATTTCAATCAAATGAGACAGTGTCGTATCCTGTTTAACCACGTCTTTTTGTGAGCAAAACTTTTCTCGGAAGCGTCTAAAACTTTCGACAGGAATATTTTTAAATGTTTTTGTTTTTGCCGTGCGTAGAGGGAACTTCGAAACCGTCAAGTTTCGGATCAGGATTGCCATATCTAAAAACGAGACCACAAACTGTGAGAAGATTCCCTCAAATAACATAATTCAATATACCGCTGCCGCGATGTTACCCTCCATTGTCTCGATCAACTATATGCTCTTCATCCATGAGTAACGTTTTGCCAACTGTGCAGGTTACGACACGATTAAAATAATACGGCACGTGCCCAAAGAGAAGGCTATACTAACAGCCTATACAAAAAATCTGATCTAACAAGTGTAACAAAGTCTATTTGTTTGTCCATATATGGAGATAAACGTATACATTCCAGCGACATCTTTTGTCCAAAAAAACTGTACCTGACGCCCTTTGAAAGTCTGCTCCTCTATTATAATTATAATGTATGGAATATTGTGGCGTCAGCAGCATACGTGCTTTATTGGCTCAGATATCGCATATCAACAGGAAGCTATATGCATCCTGATCGCTGCTTCCCTTGTAATGGACGCGTAGATATAAATCGATGAATTATAAATTACAGAACCGAAATCATATATAGCTTAAACTTAAGATAAAGATACATTTGGTGAAACAAAGAAAGGGTAAGATAATTGGCATTTCCGACAATACTTTGCATCTTTAAAATTTACGAAAACTTTCAACACTAGTCATCAATAATGGTTATCCCAGATACCTGATTAACATAATTTTGTTCAGCACTCCTTCTGTTACACCCCTGCCAAACATGGGTGATAATAATAATCCACCCCTTCCAATATTAACAATGACAATCATTCCAACAATACAGATGCTGCCTCCAATTCCAGAATTAATTTTGTAGTCCTGCCGCATATCAAGGACCTAACGCCGAAACTTTCTAGACTGTGCAACACTCTAGATTGTATTGCTTACAAATCTTCCCTTACAATCAACAATGTCTTCTCCAAAATGAAAGATAGAGTTCCACTTCTAAGCTTATCCAACATTGTCTATTGTATCTATTGGAACAACTGCAATCTCACATATAGAGGTCAAACTTCGAGATTGCTTAAAGGTAGAGTAACCTCACATGAAAGTGATTCCAGTCTTCATCCAGAAAGATGTGCTCTGGCTTCACATGTCAACACCACACGGTATTCAATGGGGACGTAATGACGTCCTTGACAAGAAAAACTATCCATTCAAACGTTTGTTCCTAAAAGTGTCTCACATCTTTATTACTGCAACTGCATGAACAAGAAAGCAGAGATGTTAGCGTCTTCTGCGAATGTCTGTTGAACTGCGAAAAATTGGAAAGACCTCATATCTCTCCCAACATCGATCTTTCCCAATAATCGCATTAATTGCATAATTTCTTCGTCATTATCTAAGACGGTGGAAGGATAACATCAAAAAACACACTCCATCCATAATGATATTTATTAATTTGAAAATAGATTTTGAACTTCTTTTTATGCTGTAACCACCTTCATCTTAACACTTCCATACAAGGTAGGCAACACATCATAGGTCTTCTATCCCTTTCTTTTCTCTCTCTCTCTCTCTCTCTCTCCTTTTTTCTCTTGATCGATGGTGTGTCAATAATGTGAACGTCACACGTCACTCATCCATTTCGTCAGTTTCAGCACGTGATAAAGACGAAGTGGTTTCCGGTAAAAATTATTGTTCGAAAGTTTTTTCAATAAGTTAATAAATCCGTCAGTGTTTTCTTGAAAAAAGCAAGCATAGCTATGGTTTTACCAATAATTATTAATTAAAATAAGCTCTTCCTAATTTAACCTCAACAATTCAGCTTTTTGCTCATTAACTATGTGTTGTCTTCTACTTCGTTCTAACAACAATTTCAGCAACAAATCTCACCGACTCAGTAAATAACGATACTCCTTTCAATTACATATTGTTGCTACTTTCCAAAATTTGTCCTAGTCCCTTGATGATGATGGCATAGACCGTCGCAAACTTGACTTTAAGTTAATGGCATACTTCTGCAAAACTTTTTATTCATCCCAAAGAATTTCAAGGATATGTATATATACACCTTAGGAAAAACCATTGTTATACATGGGAAATCATTTCATGGCAACAGCGCATCGGCTCGTCTACTTTCATCGCTATTCGTACATATTTCCTACCGATAACGCGCGTGCCGTTGTCAAGTGCGATAAGGGATTTATGACTCACTCTGCGGTTGGGTTTTGTGTAGGAAAGGTGCGTCTTTATTTAATCCAAAATATCTTAAAAATGTACTCGCAAGAAGAAAAGTTTCAAATGATAGATTGGTACATCCACCGTCTCACGCAACGGTTATAAATACCTACGAAAAATTCAAGAGGGTGGGCTGCTTACATAAGTGCCATAGCTGCATGCACCCTGAAGGTTGGAAACCAAAAATTAGCGAGAAAAGGCAGGAGATCGAACCTGCTGTTTGTGCCGCTGCAGAAGTATCTGAGCCATGCTCAAGCAGAAAAATTGATGAAATGATACCAATAGCCGATCTCACACCCAGAACAACTAGAAATATTTTGCATCGCAACGGCTATCATAGCTTCAAGGTTGGAACGGTTCAAGAAATATTTTCTTTAGACAAATACCGTCGAATCTAGTTTTGTGAAACGGTCATGGAGAAGGCGAACAGGGATGGAAGTTTTATTGGTAACATTTTGTTTACTGATGAACCAACATTCCCTCTCCACGGTCATCACAATCCTTCAGTCGTTCGGTATTGGTCTCAGGAAAATAAACACCTCAGTATTCCCGTCCGACGCAGTATCCACAGAAACTGAATGTGTGTGCAGGAATTCTAGGTAATAACATTATCGGACCGTTCTTTACGTTCTTACGGCTGCAAAATATTTGGCGTTACTACAGACGCAGATTGTTCCTGCAATTAGGCAGCTTGGCATTGATCTCGCTAATATTTGGTTCCAACAAGATGGATGCCCGGCGCATAAGGCTGAAAACATAGTGGAGCGGCGAGATGAGCGACGAGGAGAGCAGAGAGCAGAGCGGCGATTGAGTGTCGCGGTGATAAAAGAGATGCCTGCACATAGTAGCGCGATCAAAACAGAGAGATGGATCTGTTGTTAGCAGAAAATTCTTCTCTGAAAATTTGGTATTTTCTGAAAAATAGGAAGAGAAGTTGTAGTGTTCATGAAATAAATAAAAGTAGGCATGTACATGGTGAATTTCATCACCTGTATGAAGAACTAAGGCAGCATCCCGAGAAGTTTAAGTCTTATTTCCGAATGAGTATTGTAACCTTTGATTATATTGTGAAGAAAATTCAGCATAAGTTAGTAAAAAGTTGGACCAACTTTAATTGTAACCCTATTAGCCCAACAGAACGAGTTGCACTGACCTTAAGGTAAGTAAACGTGCACACTTTCAATTTTATATTTTATTCAGAACGAAAACCCAAACTAAAATGAAAGCACAAACATTACTCATATAGCTGTACCTATGTGAAAATATTAAAAATCATTAAGAGATTCTTCGGAAAAACTGGTCAAATAAGATCCAACTGATGCAGGATTCGAGGAGACCCTTAGAGGCTGCAAATCAATTATTTGGGATGAATTTACTTCATATACGAGTACATCATGCATATTTTGAGCTTGATGATTACTTTGCCTTTGAGTAGCTTGACTAGGCGGCTGATCATTGTAAATAAAGTTATAAACAAGTTCCTGAATTCTCATTCTTAATAACATTTTTCTTTGTGGGGTGAGCGGGCGAATGTGTGGTAGAAGGCTGTCAAAAAAGCAATCGTCTTCATCAAGGGTTTTTTTCTCTTTTTCTAGAATCCTGAGTTTTTGTTCTTCTAATCTTATAAGTGCAGCACCAACATCTGTGTCATTTTGGTTCTTTCGTTTTAATTTGTTAACAGTAGGTGTGATAGTTAAACTGCTTTTGTTTTGAGACGAATCGTTCGTCAGTGGTAATTTATCGGCATAAGTAGAATCATCCAAGTTTGGCTTATTTGGTTCTGATCGGTGTTCTGATAACTGGGTGTTTGTTTCTTCATCCAGAATATTGATGTTTTGCTCAGTTTCGGGCAAATTTCCGGTGCTTACTCGGGCAGTAAATTGGTCTTTTAAAAAATAAAGACTATCAAAATATTGCCAAGATGATGTCCAAGAGGATGCCTCATCCCCCGATCGTTGTACTGGCTTTTTTTTAAGTTCTTTGCGAAATGTGTCTCGCAAGTTTTTCCATTTTGTCCTCACGATACTCCCTGAAATGAGAAAATATTTTTACCAGAATTTAAGCTTGAAGAAGTTTTTTTTTCAGGTTTTTGGCAACGGGATCATCTTTTAAAACTCTTAGTTTTACTTTTCGAATGGGTGCTACGACCGTGTCATCAATTGTGCGAGAAACAGTAAAAGCTATGTGGGACATATTACAACCTCTGCATATGAAACTTCCTACCGAAAATGACTTCAAGAACACTGCAAAAGAATTCTACGAAAAATGGAATTTTCCCAATTGTCTGGGGGCAATTGACGGAAAACATATTCGTGTGAAATGTCCTCCTCACTCTGGAACTATGTACTATAATTACAAAAACTTCTTTTCTATTGTTCTCCAAGCTGTTACTGATGCAAATTATAGATTTATAACGATTGATGTTGGAGGGTATGGCAAGCAGAGTGACGGGGGTACATTCCGATCCTCATCTCTATTTCATCTGATTGAGAGTAAACGTCTAAATATTCCTGAAGATGGTACATTACCGCTCACTATGATCACTGTACCCTATGTTTTTATCGGAGATGAAGCCTATCCTTTATTAAATAATCTAATGAAACCTTTTAATAGAAGAAATTTAGATGCAGAAAAAGAATATTACAATATGCGCCTTTCACGTGCAAGACGTGTAGTAGAGTGTGCTTTTGGAATCATCAGTGCCAAGTTTCGTATTCTTTTCAAGCCCATAGAAGCCTCTCCAGACTTAGCAGATGATATTATTAAGTGTATCTGTATTCTACACAATACAATAATTGATATAGAGGGCATTCCAATTCAAGATGAACAATTTTTGTCCCAATCCGAGTCTCAATGTAATAACTCGGACGTTGTGCGAGCAAATAATAGGCCAACAGCATCTGCCACTTTTATTAGAGAGACGTATAAAAATTACGTATGTAGAAATAAAATTTAAAAATATATACTCACTTGTTGTTTTCATTTCTTCGGCCACAGCATCCCACAGTTTATCCAAAACAAAGCGGTTATGGTGCTGAGAGTCTTTCTGATCCCATAGGGGATTTTAACAAAAACACTAGTAATAAATGCATCAACATCCATTTTTAATACACAGTATTTCCGCAGCGAGGAGAGCAGAGAAAACAAATCTGCTTGGTCTCGCCGCTATCCTCTCTTATAGCAACGCAGTTACCTCGCTTGAGCTCGCCTCACTATGTTATACTCGATTGGAACTATTGCTTTTGTTTTCGCCGCTCTCCTCTCTGCTCTGCTCGTCGCTCTTCTCACCGCTCCACTATGTGTTCAGCCTAATGCGGCGATCGTACACACTTACCTTGAAAGTGTGTTCGGCCAGCGGATTATTGGCGGTAACGGAACAATAAAATGGCCTCCTAGATCACCCGATCCAGCGCCCAATGATTTCTTCTTGTGGGGTTATGTGAAAAGTACTGTTTACACTTTCAATGAGAGAGCAGACAATTTGCATAACCTACAGGTGAAAATCGTTGAAGCGCTCGGGCAAATACAGCCTTCTACCCTCTGGAGAGTTCGTCAGGAGTTTTATAACTGCCTGACATACTGTTCATTGAATGAAGGAGACGTTTTTGAGCCCCAGCTGTGAAGGACCATTTGAAACATTTGTGTTTATTATTGCGTTTCATTTTTGAGAACTTATTTTTTTGTTAGAATATCTTTTTATTTTCGTTACACATTTTTAAGAGTGTACTATTTTTTGTTATGAGACGCAACGTTATGTTTTGTTTTTGTTATTTTTGTTCTGAGACGCAACCTTTATTGCTACAAAACCAATTATCCATTCATAAAAATAAGTAGAGTGATGTAGGTGATTTCGTGAAATCTCAAAATCAGCGAAATCGGTTCACAGGACGTCCAATCGAACTGGTGCGTAATGCGCGCATCTACTGTACTTCTTCTATCGACTCAATGAGAATAATAGGCAGATACGCTGTGTTGCCAATTTGAGTAGAGCTTCCCGAATTGTGGGGAATTTAGAGTTAAGTGTTGATTCATTCAAGCTTTTAATCAGCTTGGCCTAGACTTTAGAACTTCATAAAGATAACATTGAAGCTGAGTGCTGCTGGAGTATAGTGTTTCGAATATTCAAAGCGGAGCGGGACACTATCCTCGTTCAATGGGTCATCAAGCCACAGTCTTTTCAACAAAGAAATTATTTTACGAAAATGCGTTATATTTTTAAGATTTTGTCGTAACCAAATCTCTGTTTCTCAAAATGTACGTCTATTGTAGAATTTTCGGCAAACTAAGCAAGAAACGTGATCTAGTATTTACTCAACATTACGGATTTCTCGAAATACATTAAAAAATGTGACCTAGATACCTAACTGCCTCAAGCTTTTTAATATAACACCTTAAACCAGGGTTACCAGGTGCTCAGTCACGTTGATTGTCATGTTGTACTGCGCAAGTCAGCAAACAATCTGGCGTAATAAACGTTAGGAATCATCAGATATTGCCAGATTCCCGAATACCGGGCACCATAGTACCCGTTATAGTTGTCCTTCAAAGTTGTCAAATCGCCCCTGTGGCGCAAATTCGCCACACCAGGCAACTCGGCTATAAACAAACCCTGTTTATCACTACTATTTGATAGTCATATGGTAGTTGTAGCCCTATCTAGCGGTCCATGATTTCTCTCAATACTGTTGTATTTCTACTGGCGACAAGAATAGGGATTACAAAATCATTTATACAACAATATACAAACATGAAAAATATGATTTGAACCATGAAACATTAATACAATTTTAATAGTTTGAACTTTTTTCATTTTTGGAATACTCTTATGTAGAATCCGCAGCTATTTTTCCCGAAATTTGGGTAGACTTAGATTTCTTAGAAATATGGCATACTGGTATCGGCAACTCTGCGAATGGGAGAAACAAATCGCATTTGTTGAGCGCATCCGTCTAAGCAGCGGGCGCCAGCGCCCGTTCTGCCTCTCTCTTTTATCATTCTTCTACTTTACCCCGTTGTCCGTCACACTCCGACGCTGCCAGATAGGATCCTACAATCGAGTGTCTTTCACGCACCTACATACTTTTGTATATTTCCATCTCTCTTCCTCATCATAATGTATAATAATGTTTTTTCCCATATATATAAGTAAGATCTATAAATAAATAAGAATATCAACATGTCAGCCTAACAGTGGAACATGGTGGCAGGTAAATTTTGTCTGTGGCTTTATGTCGTGGAATGGTATTGGAAAGCACTATGTACAGACAAGTTTGTTGACATTTTGTGCAATAACTTGAATAACATTGCTGAAAAAATGGGGAACAATGAAATATCTATCATCTATCTTTTCGCAGGATAATGAACCTAAGCTGACCGACTGAAACAAAGGAAAGGTTATTTCACAATGTTCCTGCAGAATTATCCAATCTGCGAAACGACAGCTATCAGACGTTCTTATGCAGAAATTGAACCAAATTAGACGAGAACTAATAGAACTTTCAATAATATTCCTTGGCGGGGTTACAGAGAAAAACTTCAGGATTCCGCCAGGCGCCATGCATCGAGCTCGATGGATGGCCAGAGCAATCTATTCATTAAAAATAGCATTATCAAGTACAAGGGCTCAAACTTTCTAATAAGAATAAGGTAGCTTTGTTAGATATCTGTCTGTTCATCATTATAACATACGTGAAACCGTGGTTGCAATGCATTTCAGCGGTATAAGCACTTAACGAGGATTTATGCTTCTTACGAAACAATTGAAAAATATATTTTAAAAGAAGCTTTAAAAAGTTCTGCCAACATTTATGGTTTTTGTCACATGAGGTCTCTGTCTCGTCTCTGTTTGACGTCGGCGTAGATGAGGAAACTTAAGTAAACATTTTTGCTAATTTAGACAGTCCATCAGCCCACGGTAAACGCTGCATCCCATCGAAACAAGAACTTTCTGGCCCACTTTATGGTAAGTCTGACGAATAAATTGTCCTTTGTCTTCTTTTACTGCTTCGATCTAATAAATTAACTGTTAAAATAAGCCAGCATAATCTGGGACTCTGGCAATAGATGTGTTGTTTCGAGGTATAAGATCTCTAGAGATTGTTTATAGCGGATGACGCTAAGCAAAATTGAGCAACACCGTCGTATTTGTCGGCTCCCCCACCACCGATCCCAACAAGAAGCGCTTTGTAGCCAACCAAGTTATCAATTTCTAAATTCGTTGAAATAATTCGTCATGCTGCCTACCCTTGTAAAAATTCGTCCATAAAATAAAAATAAACATAAAAACTAAGGACAGAACAAACACTCGCATCTGCAAACCACCCAGCGAACGCCAAGGGAAATGAAATCCATATTTCGAAGAAAACAGATAATAGAACTGGATACTATAAAGATGGACATTTAGGCCAGGACAAAAGCGTGGTTTGGAGATCTATTCTGTAATAACATTTGGTTGCTATAACTATAAAGTTTTACAACTAAAGGAGTGCTGAGAAACTTGAAACTCAACCATTTGGTTAGCATATGTTATAGTGCGTTTTCACGCTCAAGTTATTTGCGCCAATCAACTTATGCATGCAAATTTGCGCAAATTAAACTGAATTGGTGTGAGCGTCCTAACGTACAGTTTACCGGCCCAGAATCATGGACAAGTTTGTCTAAAAAAGTACAGTTCAGATTGTCGTTGGGCAAAGCTGAAGATGGATTACGAAGACGAATTATTAGCAGTAGCTGGTGTTTGTTTAATTAAAAAGTTAAAAGTGCCTAAAGACAAAAAAAAGAGAAGATCGCAGAAGTGTTTGTGAACTTGATTGTATCTGGTGCTGAGAGGATGGTCCTGTTTGTAAAGGAGGCGTCGGCAAAGATGGCGTGATTTGATGATTTTATGATGACCCTGGTTGTAAACACGGTACTATTTGCTGATTGTATAATGGATGTTGTATATGCAAGGTACAATAACGATTTAGAGTTCCGAGTTGCTTGTACTTGCGAAAGTTCCTTTAACTTGCAGGCCCAAGCTTTTCCAATGAGCGTAAACTTGGCGTCAACATCAGAAGGCATTGTAAAGCGTTTCTGAGTTACATCCAAGACTTCATCACATTTATCGTTACGCATTTTGCTGCTCTAGAAGTTGCTTGTGGTATTGGCCGAGGTGTAAGTGGTTCAGATATAATTGAATGTGGGGTGGCTGGTTGAGACGAATTATCTTCGGACTGAACTCCATGTGTCTCAGAATTCTAAAAAGAAAAACTAGTAAATGATCCACATATTACGTACAAAAGATACAGTTAGTAGTTATGCACATTGAATTATTTTTTACAGTTTCCGAAAACTACAGAGGAATGGAAGAAAATTGCACTGGATTTTCAAGAACGATGGGATTTCCCACATTGTTTAGGCGCTATGGATGGCAAATATGTGCAAATTACAGCTCCCGTAGGAAGTGGATCATATTATTTTAATTATAAGAAAACCTTCAGCATAGTTTTAATGGGAATTGAAAATGCTAATTACGAGTTCATATACTGTGATGTTGGAACCAACGGTCGAGTATCTGATGGAGGGGTCATTGAAAACACCAAATTTATGAAGTATTTGGCAGCAAATAAACTTAATTTGCCACCACCAGAGACAGTTGTACCCGGTGAACCAACATTGAATTATGTGTTTGTAGGAGACGAAGCATTCGCAATACGACACGATTTTTTAAAACCGTATAATCAAAGAGAGCTGGACTATCCAAAAAAAGTGTTCAACTACCGTTTGAGTAGAGCTAGACGAGTAGTAGAAAATACTTTTGGTATTCTGGCTAATCGTTTTAGAGTATTTCATACATGTATTAATTTAAAAGCTGATAACATTGTCAAAGTTGTTTTGGCATGCTGTGCACTTCACAATTTTCTACGCAGAAATTCGGTGAATTCATATACACCTCTTGACGTATTTGACGTTGAAGATACGTCTACTGGTGTCATTACCCAGAGACTGCGAACACAGAATCACAGTTTGTTAGATCTTGCAAGCAGTCACAATCTACACTACCGAAGGCAAAAGTGAGGAAAAGTTTTGAAATTTATTTCAATAATTCTGGTAATGTTTCATGGCAACATAAAATGGTTTCTAACCCAAGTATTTAACGACACTTACTAATGTATTCAGGGACGGATCCAGAAGGAAATTTTTTTGGGGGGGGGGGGAATTCGAAAATGTAATGTTTGTGATAATGCGTCAAGAGAAATATTTTTTATTTTGAATGTAAATATTAACATCAATTTTATACATTGAAATTTATACGATGTTTGACCATTTTAGAAAATCTTTTCAATACTTCTTCCAGTGCTACCTCGATGTCATACATTGTGGAAACCTTTTTTGGGGGGATTCCTCCCCAGTCCCCCGTCCCCCCCGTGGATCCAACACTGAATGTATTAATGAATTATTAGGTGCATAAATAACAACAAGAAATTTACCTGCGTTTCATTGTCGTCTTCCATATTTGACACAGAGGTTCTTGGACTTTCCTGGTCCCGCAAAAAGCTGAGTAACTCAAAGTACCACAGATGTGGAACGTATACATCGTCGGTGCCTACACCGGACCTCTCAGAATCTAGAACTTTTTTTAATTCTTCCCTGTACGTCGTTCTTAAAGAATTTATTTTCTTTACTACAATTTCTCGATTTGCACTCTCTTCAACTGTTCGCATTTTTTCCACGAGAATATCATACGCCTTAGACTTAGCATTTCTGTCGCTGTATTGTTTTGATTTCACCTTCCACAGACAAGGACAAGGAAAAGATTTATAGAGCTCATAAACTCTACCATGAACTCTTTTTCTTTCTTTGACATTATTTATCACAACAAAATACCGTACAACAGCCGAAAATTAAAGCCACGTGCACGTTCTGTTTACTATTATTTACCCACTACGCATGCGTCGAATTGGTGCGTTGTTTACACGTTCATGCATTTGTGCCAACCACATGCAAATTATCTGACCATCCAGATTTTACTCAAGATAAACTTTTTGGCTTGCGCAAGTAAACAATTTTCGTTTTCATGTACCAATTCACTTGCACAAATTGGCATGCACAAGTCAATTTGCGCAAATTGCATGAGCGTGAAAACGCACCATTAGAAGCTACCCCGGGCACTGAACGGTCACGCGTCAGAGGCGTATCATGGGATATCTAAGACTTCCGAAGGCTAGCATATTACTAATATTTGTCATGATTGTGGGAAAATATGAAAAAGAGGAGACAAACAGCTAGGTATTTAGAATTTTCCCCTAGCTGATAGGAGTTAAGTGCGCCAGGCTGGATACGATTCTACTGTCGACGCACGTGTTGACAGATGCGGTTTGGAAATTATCATTAGAGAGGAGCAGGTGAAACTAACGAAAGACTGCGTAGTTCCAACAAAGCTAATTTTGATAAAATTACATTAAAATTTCAGAAGAGAGTCACCGTTTGTTTTACCTAAATGCTATGTATAATTTTATAATTATTTAAGAGGACATCTCGAATTGTGGCCCAGGAATTCCCAATTCATTGAACTTATTCAAAACTGCAGGGTCCTGCCGCAAAGCAAATAGAGCCACGAGACGCCACTGTTGCGAAAACTTAAGGGAAGACTGTATGCTGACGACACTCCTTGAGGTGGGACAAGGGAACGTAATTAACGTATCGTTAGAGGGCGGCCTCGCACATGGTGTGTCTACCAAATTGTTGGCCTTTGGCTGCCGTACTTGCACCAATCGGTTTTTAAACCAAATCGGGTAAGGATAAAGTGGTGGAATTGTAGCCGGACCTGGGCCAATAGTAACTGGATATGGAGCCCGGATTGGAGCGATCATTCGACTCGGGAACACAGCAGGATATCCAAAACGATGTGGTTCAGGAATTTGAATCTGGTTCATCGTACTGAAAAAGGAAGGTAGGTATGTGATTCTTTAATTCTAATTTCAAAGGACTCCTCGAAAATTTTTCAGTATTTGGATTTTATTAACTTTAATTTATCTTAGGATTGTAGAGCAATAAATTAAATTATTGAACAGTTACCATAGTAAGCAAATAATAATGACGCACAGCCACTACTTTGTTTCAAACGACTACACAGTTCCTATTGATTGCACCTCGCGCTGGATATGTTATGCCAATCCTGAACAAAACAAATTTTGAAAACATCCGCTATCCGCTCTACTGTTTCAATAGCTGTGTTATACCATTCATAGTAAGGGTATGAGATAATACCACAATATTCAACTTCTGAATAAACATATGCATTATATAACAGCTTATTATATTATATTATTACTATACAGGGTTTTCAAAGTTGTTTAAATTATTTTAGCTACTTGTAGGACAAAAATCACCCATATAAAAGTAGCATAATAACAGTGTTATCCTTATCATTATCAACGGGTACAAGCGTTACAACCTGAAAATCATCCTAGAAAAGTTGCATTTTGCCCGTGGCTTTTCGAACAATACGTCAAGAATTAAAATTTTAGGAAATTAATTTTGTGTGCAGGACCTCTATTCTTGAGTTTGAGGGAGTAGGAATTGTGAGAGAAAGTGTCAAAAAGTAGGTGTGGCCAAGAAATGCAGTATTCTTGAAATCAATTCTACCGGAAAGTGACAGAAATGAATTCACTTTAGGGAGTCGCGATTTCTCTTGGTACCGACCAAGAGAAACCTGAAAAATTAGTAGAAAATAGCGCCATATAACCTAAAAATTGAAGTGTATTTGGCATTGTTATTATCGTTCCTGCTAAACATATTGGTTAATTTCAATCAATTGATGTATTGGAACGATATTATTAACGAGGATGTTGAGAACTGAGAGATTGGGAGAGATATTCTTGGGCGCCGAGATCCTTTCATAATTTCGGATCGAAAATGTGTACATATGTTTAGCTTGACCAAAGATTTGGTGTATGAATTGCTGGAGATATTGACTCCATTCATATAACCACCCCATGAGCTTCTGCACTTTCGATCACAACAAAGACAAGAGTAGATGAGTAGATATTAAGTTTTAGTCATCCTAAAACAGTATCTTTTAACCTATGATTGAATTTTCCCAGGTGCTCCCGGAGAAATTCAATCATTTTGTCCTTTTGTTCATTTGAAATGTGTTTTTAAAGTTTTCGGCTCCGTAGATAAAATTATAAGGAGGAAATCATGACCAAAATCTTTGGTTAGTTTTTTTACTGTCAAAAATATCTCCATTTTGATTGGTTTAACACGTTTACCCAAATCTGAAAACCCTGTGTCTTGATTTCCTTTCTCCTTTCTATCGAGTCCTTTCAAGAATACAGTATTTTCAAATCGATAGAAAACCGCGGGAGTAGAAAAAGAGGGAGAGTGTGATTTTCTATTAAAATCAAGAATAGAGGCACTGATGAGGCCACATAAGAATCATGTTTGGGCAGCATAAAATCCGCATGCTGTAAAAAGAATTTTCAACATAGCCTTTTAATTTTTTTTGCTGAAGCTCTCCGGACTATAAAATATATTTTCATGCCCCCTTTACTATTTCAATAAATACAAAAAAACGTACATTATATCGATACAAAGATTTTTATTTTAATTCTAATAAAGGAATAAAATAAGAGTAGGTACTAATGAGACATTTGAGATTGCATGTTCTGTACCAGTTGGTTGATTCTAGGTTCTGTTTTTGCCAGAGCTATCATCAGGTTGCTATCGACATCAAGACGATTTCGCCGTTTAGTTTTAATATTCGTAAAGCAAGAGAGGCAAGTGTCGAATTAACAGGCAATGTTTTGATCCAAAATTTCTCTAATGCTAAAAGATGGAAGTCATCCTTCATGGACGAATCAGCCTTAATTTTTAGAAATTCTTCCTGAACTTCTTCTGGTAGTTGTGACACATTGACAACAAATGGATTTCTTGTCATGTGCCATATTGGTGACTCTGAATTGATGTCTCGATAGTATCGGCGAAATTCGTCTTCCAGCGCTTGCAAATGTGTCAGCTTTTAAATTTACGCCCAGTATGTTATTTTTAATTGCTTCGAACAGCCGAGAGAAAAATATAACATTTTCAGAAGACACTTTTCGATTCCAAAGATGAAGCTTTGATATGAACCCCTGAATATTCATATATATTTGGAATCAATATGATGTACTTAAAGTTCGTCGTTTCAAAAGTATTTCGCCACGTTGGTTTGATTGTGATGTGGTAAAAAAGTCCCAATAGCCGATCTATGAACGCGTCTCTACTTAATCGACAATTTGGTAAATTAAATAAAAATGGTAACTGAAGTTTGTAAAAACACAAACTTACCTTTTAACTGTGAGACAGAATAATTTGACACACTCAAACAGATTTCTCAACAAAACATGTACAAGGAAACGTCAAATTATTTACAAGTTTGTGGGAATGAATGTCACATATGCTCATCCGCGTTTGGAAAGTACACAATAGTTTTCTAAGTGATCAATGTTAAGTGGAGCGCGGTGGGGATGCGCGCGGGTTTCATATTGTCTTTTCCAAACTTGCATGAACTGCGATTGACGACGCCGGGTTATGAAACAGCGGCTGACAGAATAAGTGAATATGATATTAAATTTTTATTTTTATGTGAGTAAATTAGTCATTACATTGTAATGTTATTTGTTAATGTCGTTTGTTTTTTTTTCTAAAATGCAAACGCCTTGGCAGGCGCGTCCCCCTGGTTGGTAACTCCTGATCTAAATAATGAGTTTCCGGAAGGGTGGATAGGACGCAATGGAGCCATTTCTTGGTCTGCTCGCTGTCCGGATTTATCGCCTTGCGTTTTTTCTGTGGGTTGATTTTAAAGAGTTGGTGTACCGTGATGGAGCTCTAAATACTCTGGAAGGACTTCAACAGCGCACTGAAAATGCTTGTGATTTAATTCGCAGACACCAATATTTTATTTTCGAAGCTTGGGAAAATGGGGACAATTTTCAACACTTTTTGTAAAAATGGTATCAATTTAACTTGATAATGATTTTTCTTAAACATTTTTTGATAATGTGAACTAACTCTCTAATTATGCAACTTTTATATAGGTGATTTCTGATGTATCAACTACTTTTGACGAGTTCTACAAGCTGTTAAAATGACTCGACTTGGAAAACACCCTATGCTTATGAAGTTCTTTATACTTTATATATAATTTTTTATTGTTTATATTAATTTTAGTTTAGTACATAATATTTTTTATGGCTCCTGAGCACAGAGGGATTAATCCCCCTCTCTCCAGGTATTTACTATGTATCTCCTTATGGAGTTTATTAATGTAAAATTTCTGTGGCAATAAATAAATAACAGCTTAATGGCCTTTATTATATGTAAACTTCTGCAGTTCCTTACTATGAAGCCATAAGTAACCAACGCTTCTTACGTTTTTTTCTAGTTATATGCTGACCAAAAGTTAAACTTTGATTAAACATACGTAAATCACACAATCCAATGTGTTACCTCAAAGTCTTAGGCAACAGAAAAGAGCGACCGTATTTGCATAATGGGAACATGTTGGTGTAGAAACTGGATCGGGTAAGGATAAGGTCCTTGTCATGGAGCTGGCCCTGGAGCAAAACCTTGATATGGAACCTGGACTGGACCCATCATTTTAGTCGCGAACACATCAGGATATCCAAAAAGATGTGGTTCAGGAATTGGAAGCTGGTTCATCTAACTGAAAAAGGAAGGTAGATATGTGACTCCATTTCTAATTTCAGAGGTTTCTTTGTAACCCTTGGCCCCAAGTTAGAGACGTTTGTAGTTAATTTTACCCCCGGAATAGATCAAACGTCCATGGTTATCAAACCAATGAACGGGCATCGAATAGCAAAAATTCCCCACTTGGTAACCTTCCAAGCAAGGTTGAAAACTGCTTTAAAATAAACCAAGTCTCAGCATTTAAGAAAATCGTATAAAAATAAATTTTATGTTAAAATGAATTTAAAATAATTATTAGAGATAAAAATACTCGTGGTCTATTAATGCAATATTACGCAAACCTGTCGACTTTAACAAGCGCATAACGTCATATCTTGGACGACAAGTATATATATATATATTATCTAAAACCTTATATACCCGTAGGTGTAAGGTGCAATTAGATTATTTCATTCTCTAAAACTATTAGTTATTATATGTATACAAATTTAGCCCACTGCTTCGTTCCAACTTATTCCCCTGTTTTTGAGTATTTTCGCCAATCCATCTTTCCACGTCTTTTTCGGTCGCCCTCTTGCCGTTTTCTGTTGAACACTTGCTTCCCATATGAGTTTTACTGGCCTTGTATCCTTCATCCTTACTAAATGCCCAAACCATTTTAATTGGTTGTCTTCAATCCTTTGTAGTACAGATTCCACTCCCAGCTCTTCTCTAATAACTTCGTTTCTAATTTTGTCTTTCCTAGCGACCCCTTTGACTGCCCTGAGGTATTTCATATCCCTGTAACTTGCTTTTTTGCCTGTTCGTTAATACCCAGCTCTCGCTCAAAAATGTCAATATGGGTCTGAATACTGCTCTGTACAAGGTCATCTTTATTTTTCTGCTTATCATTTTCTTCCTTAAGAAAGATGTATTCATTGTGTGATAGAGCCTAGATGCGTGCATTAATCTTTCGTTGATTTCCTCTTCTATTGTTCTATCGCCTTGTACTACCACTCCTAGATATTTGAAAGCTTCGACTTGTTCTATACGGGCGCCCTTAATAACTATATTTATTCCATTCCTCTCTGCTGTCGTCATCAGTTTTGTTTTAGATACGTTAATATTCAAACCTCTCTTCGATAATTCCTGGATCCAGATTTTAAGGTTATCTTTTAAGTCTTTTGGGGTATTAGGGCACAATAACAGGTCGTCCGCGATTGAGCACTCTGAAATATTTATTGGCCTCATTTTTTAGAAACCGACATGTACTTTTTTAATTTCGCTTTTGACGGCCTTTATTACATCATCCATAAGCATAATGAATAATATCGGGCTCAGAACTCCTCCCTGTCTCAGCCCATCTCCTATGATAAATTCCTCTGACGTCAACCAGCCGGGATGAATGTGTAGCATACTTCGGTCAGCTACTTAGGTGGAGGGCGAGCTGGGTTTACATCCTTGCACCGACTACTGGTGTTAGTTTAATCTTAGGACAGACTCCTTGTGGATTCATCACCATCATTGCAGGCACTACTCGCTTTGCCATATCCTGTGGCTTGGCAGATGACTTTTTGCTGTGCCAGATCGCTGGCTCATTCACATGTCACTTGTGGCATATCCAATATTGGTGTTTGACTGGCTTCTTGACGGTTGACAGTCATTTTTGGTACTACTTGTTGATTTGATGAAAGAATGTTTATCAGTGTCGAAGACTATGATTTTTTGATACAGCAGTGACTGGCGAAGATGTACTCGAATTATCTCGTTTCTACTCAGATATCCTAGACTGGCCTAGTCTCTGAACATGCGCTGTAACTGGCTAACTGGTTAGTGCACTAGTCTGGATTTGAGTCTTTACCCCAGGTACCTGCACTACATTAACGATAAGTTCGACATTCTGAGGTTGGATCAGGTGAAAGACATGCGTTTACGGGAACGCTCAGCTACCTTTTTAGCAGGAAAGCTAAGTTTAGCAGCGCAAGACTTTTCTTTTCTTCATATTAATAGACCGTCGGGCTGAGTTATAGGCAACCTTGGTAGATTTCCTATGGTTACGCTTACCTGTTTTTTTTCGCAGCCGTATCACGAAGCTGATCCGTGGTATATCGTTCGTGGACAATTTTAAGCTCCTTAGTTATATTGGCATTTCACCATATGCTTGCATTACCGGGAAGACCCCTTGCGAGTTTTCAAGTCTTGTGTGCAATAGCGGTGTGCATTCCTTATCGGTGTCATCTCCAGTGAGATATATGATTTCAACTTCCCCTTCAAAGTTAGCAAATCGTTTCCAGCAGGACGCAGTAGGCGATCGCCTTTTAGACGTCCCCGGTGAAGCTGCCTTGTGTCTCTTAGATGTGTTTGGTTGCGAGTTTATCTCGCTCATGATGGGTTTTCCCAGGCATCTTCTTTGGTTGCTTCATGCTCGGAAGTGGTTTATCCATCCAAAGGATGAATATATCCTAGGAAGTCACTCGGATGTCTCCCAGTCTCCTCAAAATCTCTCTTCACTTACAGTTTCTCCTCATCTTCAGAACTGCTGGTCCACAACTCAAGAATTTTTTTCTGCTGCTTTACAGTTGTCTGGTAGCAAAATGAAGGCATGCATATTCATTCTCTTAAGCGATTGTGATTGAATATGCAGATTTACCCCGATATGATCGTCACAGTCGGGAGGTCCGGGTGGAATTCATTAGGTCCTTCAGGTCTTGCTAGTCTTCCACTAAGAATGACATGTCCCTCTTCGGCAGGGTGATCCTCAGCGCCCAGGGTTTCTGAGAGCTATCCGAATGAGTCTGGTCTCGCGGTGGATAAGCATCCTGAGAAAGTTATCGACGACGGTAAATGAAATTTTGTAATATTTGTGACGCACAGAACATGCTTCAATCTTTTCTTCGCAGATTGAATTCTACTGAGCATGACTGAGGTCGAACCTCCTCCTCGTCCTCAGAGGTACTGATGTCCGTGCACACCCTCGGCGGGACGCTGTCGGACATCGGCGCCGTTTAGAGCTAGTCCACTTTGCGAATTTGGTCCAGAAATGACGGACTTGATTTATACGTCCTCGGAGAGGTAGTACAGATGCCGCTTGTCTTCACTAGTAGACCTGCCATACCGCGGACTTGTAGGGTTGCCCTGCCACTATCTTGTTAAATTGGTATGCTCCTCCGCCCTTTCGCTGTTACTCTGAGTTCGTCAAAATAAGCCGCGTGTTTGACTTTCCTCGGGAGATCAGCATAGGTTATATCCTTGCAGACAAAACTACGATTTCAGTGTTCCATCACCTTTTTCCTTCCTTGTATTTGGTGGCAGCTCCCTTGATATTAGCTGATTTGGCTTGGTCTTCGGTAGGAGTCTGGAGCCTAACTTGTATGTTAGTTCCGGTGAACACGAATTCAAGGGACTTTTTGATCCTCTCCTTTCTAGCAAAGTCGGGAGTGGGTACCGCAATAGCTGAGCGCCGTACCTCTTTAGCCAAATCCCCGCGATTTCTGAAAAAGCATCGTAAACGCCCTGGCTACAGGATGATTGACTGCACTACCCTGTATAACACCTTGCGGCACTCACTCCTTGGACCATGTGTGTTGGACATGATTCGTGCAAGCTTGGCCGAAACTTTGTTTGCCTTGATGGTTACCCGGTGTATATGCTGCCTGAATGTCCTCACTTTGTCTATGGTAACTCCTAGGTAGGCTAGTGAGTTAGAAGAGACGACCTGGGTACCTCCAAGCATGAAGCTTCTAGAAAATGTCTCCAAAGTATTTCGAGGTAGTCTTCAAATTCCTTGTATGGGCTATATGGCGAAAAGTAGCACTAGTAGATATTTACACCAGGTAAGTGTAGCCCCTTGTACCCTCTAGCTTTAGTTATTTTCTTGACAGGTATTCTCTTTTTGCAATACTGAATAGCTAGGTTGGAATCTTTATCTTTCCATTTGACATTATCCACTTATTCTGAGTTCGTCAAACTTAGCCTCGTGTTTAGGTTTCCTCAGGAGATCAGCAGAGGATATATCTTGGGAGACACAATTACAGCTTCAGTGTTCCTTTTCCCTTCCTTATATTTGGTAGCAGTTTTACCTTATAGAAGTAGCTTTTTTGGTCTATTCTATTTGAGGTAGGAAAACCCTGCTGTGCTCTGTCCAGCCTCTATGCACAGCACCAGATCACTGCAGTCCATACTTTCCCACAGAGGGTTTCCTATCAATCACTTGGTCCTCCTGTAGGTTGACTCAGTCCATTGCTTTGTCGCAATTTCTGCAATAGCATCGTGATCGTCCGAGGTTATTTCCAAGATCGTGGTTATTTGGAATGCTAGGTCTTTTTCAGACGTCTTTTTAAAATGCCTTGCACCCTGATATTTTTTTGTTTACTTGCACCTGAAGCACAGATTTTTTGTCTACAACCTTCTCCAGCAGATCTTTAATTATTCGTGACTATCCACCATTCTTTTCAACGGATATCGTCTACTCCTCCCTCTTACGTTTGGTAGAATTTTTATGTGCTTCCTCATCTCGTTCAAGTTCGATCCTCGACACCAAGTATGACCTTCCTCTTCTTCTTTATATCGGGCATTTTTTTCCTTGATTTTCTGATTCTGGATAATAGTGGAAAGCATGTCTGAAAACAGAAGCAGAAAGAATCGAAAAATCTATTAAGTTCAATGTTAACGTGCCGATCGTTAAGTGCATCATGCTCCCTAAGAAACTAGAAACAGAATTCTTCAATATTTGACTGACTTGCCCTTCAAAGTTAGCAAATCGTTTACAGCAGGACGCAGTAGGCGATCGGCTCTTAGACGTTTCCCGTGAAGCTTCCTTGTGTCTCTTATGTTTGGTAGCGGGTTTATCCTGGTGTCCGAACCTTCTTTGGTTGCTTCACGTGCTGAAGTGGCTTGTCCATCCAAAGGCTCCAGGTCTCCAGATATCCTAGAAAGTGACTCGGATGTCTCCAAGTCTCCTCCAAATCTCTTTCTCCACATGCAGTATCTCCTCATCTTCAGAACTGCTAGACTTAAAAAAGTTCAAAATTACCTGCATCAGGTATATATATATATAGGTGAAAAATTAAAGCTTCCGCCTTTTGTTGGGTACTTCTACAAAATTTAAGCAAAGAGGACTCTTTATACTTTTTTTAATTCCCTCTAGCTTTCAATGGACTTTGCCATCATCATCAGGAGCTGTAATTACAATGATAACAGTAGCAACAAAAGTGTAAAATGAATTTAAATTGAATCAACTTACAGTAGTATGTGAGGATGTTGCTAATTGTTGGTTCATCTCACTCATTATTCCATGACCACCATTTTGTGCAATCATCAAATGGCTTCACGACGTAATGCTCTAATGTTTTCTAAATAATTTTTAATCTGTCTTTAACTTGTCTTGTCATATTTTATATAATTTTAACCATTGTACCATGTATCCAGCTCTCACCATGTTACTGGACGTTTCCCTCATCCCATACGAAAACAACAATTAGCAACATCCTCACATACTACTGTAAGTTGATTCAATTTAAATTCATTTTACACTTTTGTTGCCACAGTTATCATTGTAATTGCAGCTACTGATGATGATGGCAAAGTCCATTGAAAGCTAGAAAGAATTAAAACAAGTATGCTATGCTTAAATTTTGTCGAAGTACCCAACAAAAGGCGGAAGCTTTAATTTTTCACCTAACTGGTCTAGACGACAATGACCACGTCTCAAGTTATATATATATATATATTAATCAGACAAAAACGTTGAATTTTAACTGGAGAAAATTCAATCACAGATTCCAAAGAGAGCTCGTCAGCTCGTTGATAATATGGATAGGACAGACCTCGGAGATGACAGACTCATGGGCAAAGATGGCCGTTCCACCACACTTGCTCTCAGATCTGCAAATACTACAAACCAGTGAAAATTCATTTATACAGGTGCACTAAATTTGATCATTTTCTGACCAATGTTCATCAATACAAAGAAATTTTGTATATTGTTCTTGACCGTAAGCTTCCAAAGGTCTATTTTACTTGGCAAGCTCGTATGGATATTTATTATCTCGTCATGTTTTTTTTGTCTTTGTGGAACACATGTTCGTTGTCAGGTGGAATCATTCTTTTGCCTCAGTAGGCCGAGAGGCAACAAGTGTATAATCCCGACTTGAGTCAGCTGTTTCTGGGGAGACTCTCTACCATCAAGGGTAAGGTAACGGCTGAGACAATAATACCACGATTAAGTTGCGAGACACTGTATTCACTGAACCCCTATAGATATAAACGTATTGGAAATAGGGAATCTTAATTAAACTTAAAATATGTAGCCCTTCTGGCGCGCGCGACACGCTGACCCTCTTGCTCGCAATCCGTTCATCAGTAATCACCTGTGGTTTCTCATTGATTTTTGTAGCAAGATCCTTCTGTCCTTTAGCTTGACGCCCTTGCTGAATCAACTTGCCAACGTCCAATGGAATGGTTTCGTGTTTCAGTTCTTCAGTCTCACGATCAAGCTTTGCAGTATTCTTTGTGGTCACATGCTGTTTGTTACTACCAGATGTATTGTATTGAAAAATATAATTACATGTCCACACCACACACATAGTCTAAGCTGTAGACGAGAATATTGATTTGCCAGAATTAAACTTTGTCAATAAAGAGTGACATCTGTATGAGTTTAAGCTAGGGTTGCCTTTTGAAGAATTTGTTGCATTCGTTAACTTATATTTCTAGAATACTTACCTGGTGCATCAAAAGGCGGATGGTCTTTTATTCGAAATACATTCAATATATAATCCCTTGTACCGCAGAATATAATGTAGTGTTTTTCTGGGTTCTTTTGGGTGTGGATTAAAACTCGAGATTCCACAAAAATAAATGCACTTCTTTACTTTACTTGACCAGATAGAACATTTATGTACACCACTATTTATGTCTAATTCTTATGCCGCGCCATTGATTGCACTCCACTCCGCTCTACTCTAATGTACCCCGCACCGTGCTTCCATCTCCCGGCCGTCGAGTTATATATACTCCGAATCGCTGCTTCGAGAGAGGTTTGGCGAGCGACAAAGCGGCATCTAGAATATTTGAGGTCACCTGGCGTAGATCTAGAAGGCGAGTCACTGGTACGAGAAGGAGAGTCTCCTAATAGATGGCGCCAACAGTACTATCTATTATCGTCACACTGCCCCCTCGGTAAAGTCATTCCGTCCCGGAATGATCTTATTGGCGGTGGATCTCGATATCGGCACGACTGCCCTTTCTTGCAGTAGGAGTTCTTAAGAAGTAACAATCCACACTCCTTCCAGGAGGTAGCCGTCTAGGACTGTGACAACATACCAGAAATCGAATGGTCATTAGCATTGTGAGCCATAAAAAGATCAAATGTCATGTCCGATTCTGGTTGGATTTGCTGCATCGCCGCATCTTCGTTGTTTCCATGATAAGGTGCCCTGTAGTCGACGGAGTTTTTGAGGATCTATGACTGTAGGTTCTGATGGAGAAGGACTGACTTTGTTTCAGATGGGTTGTGGAGTCTTTATATCTAGCATAGATTTCAACTAATCCTAGTCATTTCTCAACTAATAGATATTGATTCAGCTTGTGGAAAACTCTGAATGTATAATTTAATTTTTGTAAAAAATGTTCTTGCCATTTAATTTTTGCCGAGCTATAGGTAAGGGAGGCAGCTGCTCCTGGGTACGCCCTTGTATAGATAGAAAGCACTTTCTGGGATTTACTAGCCTTCATTGAGGGACATGCAATATTGCAAATTACCGAAGAGATGTCTCCAAACATCCTAATGTAAATAAACAGGTCTATATTTTTTATTAGCGGTGTTTTTGTGAGATGTGAATTTGAATATTGTTGGCTCGTCGGCAATTGTTTATGAAATTACACGTCTCGTTGAAGGGTGTCTGATAATTCTAGGTCTTTAACGGCCTCACGTCCATTTTTGAAACTGTTGGACTACTTGAACATCTGGCTCCAATAAAGGTAAACGTTTCCTTAGTCATTCTGTCGAAACGGAAGCAAAATGGGAGATTGCATTGCATGCAACTGGGTTGCTGCACGGCAATTATGAAACGCGCTCTGTATTGGTTTTTGTCAATAATAATGTAATGTATCTATTTGTATTCTGATCTACCTGTATATGTCATGGAAATGACACTTCGGTCCGGAACGTCAACCTGAATATTTTGCCAAAGGACTGTTATTTAAAACTGTTACAATTACTGCTTAATAGACCACTTGACATTTGAAATAAAAGTGCGTATTACTTGTGATCCTTTGTAAGCATATCCCGTACAATACCAAACATTACAGTGGCATGCATGGTACGATTCTAATAAAAATTACAGGTTACCACAGCTGAGGAAGATTGGAAATGCCGTTTGCACCCACCCGCTCTACCAACTGACGAAATAACCTGGATATGTTCAGAATGCGGAGATTGGATGTGTAAACCTAGCGTAGAATTGCCAAAGATCAACATGACCCTGCACGAAGCACTCCAGAATCCCGTTTTAGGAATATCTGAGCCGTTATGCGACGATCTGGTGGTATGTCTATCGAACCCGTATCAAGTACTCAGTTGATACCTGCCTTGGGACGACCTCCATAGAATTTGCAAAATGAACTTGCATGACCCGCAGAATGCTAAGAATTTAGTCACTGAGCTGAAATTTGTTGACATAGATTACTCTATGTTTAAAAATATCAAGACAGAACCACTGGATGAGCTTGCTGGTATTGAAGGAGGATACGAACAGTATTTAGATCAGAATTTTGTTTCTGATGAAGAATCGCCGCCAAATAGCGAAGATTCGATGTCACAGGACTCACGACCGTACAGTCTTGGAAGTGACGGTGCCGGAGACTTCTTTTTACCGTTACTGAATACACTACCGAAAAAATCCGATCCCACGACCTTCAAAAACCTGAGAGAATTTAGACCGGCATTAAAAAGGCACAAGGATAAGGATTCGAACGAAGGCACGCCTGAAAAACAGTTCAAGCCTTCTTCTAGCGAACCTCAGCCTTCGACTTCGACAGCCACAGATGAGTCAAAAAACGTAAAACTTGCCACATTGCCCCAACTTCGTGGGCAAGTGGCAAAGGAAATGAAAGTAATGAAAATAACGCTAAAGGATATATTAAAAAAATTACATCAGAAAACAGAACAAGAATCCATGGAGCAACAACCTCTCAAGGAGATAGTATCTGTAAAACCAACAGAACAGACATTGAACAAAGAAACACAAAACAGGCTCTCGTTCAGTTCATCCAGAAAAAATCTGGATATCAGCAGCTCTCAGAAGAAAGTTCTCATAAGCATACCCAAGGAAAGAATAAAAATGTCTCAGGCCATTGCTCAATACCCGCCACGAAGTCAACCAAGAACCATTACGCGGAAGCATACGCCTCTGATACTACAATCATCAAAGTCAACTCATCAAATCAAGGTAGTACCTCCAAGCTCCCAGAAAGAAACCAGTACTCCGCTCTCATTGGAACAGAAATTACTGCTGCGCTCTCGGCAAACGCAACCAGTGCTGGAAAACCCAATCAACGAGGTGGCACCAGTGGATTCGCAAGTAGGAGCTATCCCTCCGCTGCTTCAATCCGCACCACGTCCAAGCACACTGTCTCCCAAGATTTAAGACTCACATCCAATAACTTCAGTGGAAACTCAGTCTCAAACGCCAGCTATCGGCCAGCAGTTGGTACGCAACACGATACCACAAAGTTTGATAAGCCCACAACCAATCAGCAAGACTCTGCAAGTTCACGACACTCAACCCAACACCTCAAAAGGACCGAGTACACGACAGCCTGTAAGGAACGACAAAATTACGGATCCTCAGCCCAGCACCTCAAGGAAACCACTATTACTACGAGTGAAAACACCTGTGTGGCTCAGTACAGCGGAAGTACCTCAACCTCGGGGAAGCAGCTCAGAATTAATAATCGCAAAAAGTCAAGCGGTTTTACCCCAGACCAGCAAAGCATCAACAGCAGTGACACCTTCCAAACAGCGAGCCAACATTCTGCAGCCCAAGGTGATTACCTTGGCTCAGCATCAGCCATGCCTATTTCAGGAAACCAGTTTACTGTCAACATCCCCAGAACTCCAGGCAGAAGTACCTGTGGCCAGCCTAGTAAAAACTACGGCCAAGGAGGTCAGTCTGCCTCAGCCAAGGGAACATCAGGGATCCAGTTCCAAATCAGTTCTGAGAAGCAAAGCGGAAGTATCTCCAATTCCAGTCAACCTGGTCACTCTTCCTATACCAGTGGTACCTCCGGGGAGTACTCCTCGAGTAAAGACGCTCTCTATCCTTCAGATAGTGCCGCCTCGAACAACAAACGCACGGGCAGTACCCCAGCCACCATCTGTCAGTCCGCATTCAACAACAAGACTTACTTCACCACCAGTAGTACAAAAAATGGCTGTCAAACGTCAAATTTTGGATATGCCACAACAAATAGCTTATGTGACTCAGCAAGAAGTCAGTCATGTAGTGGCCAGGGATATGACACAACAGGAATTAACATCTGCCAAGCCTCAGGAAGTCAGTCTAACGTTGAAGGATATGGCTCAACAGGACCTCCAGTCTACGTCTCAGAATATTCGAGAACCCAGTCCTTCAAACAGTCAGACTCTAACAGAAGCTGGGACGAAGGGGATGGACCGACTTATTCAGGCAGCTCGAAATTTCGATGCTCGCCAAAAGGAGAAGCACAATATAACTGTTCAGAAGCAGCGAATCCAAGCAGGCAACCTCCAGGACACACAACTCATACTACAGGCCTCGCTAGAAATGAAGTGCACGCTACAGGAAGTCGGCCAGGGTCAACCATCTTCATCAACTCAGGCAGCATCGTTACAAAAGGACATCCCAATCGTGTCTCCCATGAAGACACATCAGATATTAACAGAAATCTATCCTTGGTCGCTAGAAGGGAGCAGACTGAGCGCACCATCCCCAGAATTTGCTCAGTTAGTGCAACAGATAACAACAGAGGTTCACAATCCTTCGACGTTGCAGGAGGACAGCCCGGTTCAACAAATAGAGACCAGTCCACCTCAGTTGCCACTAGAGGACTTGATGGATCAACTGTCTTCCTTACAAGAAACCGATCCAACATCACCAGATATCAATCCGCCACGATCACTGCCAGAGGAACTATTTCAGATCGAAAACCTGGATCACTTAGTCAGTCATATAACTCAAAAAACCAACAGCATGCCGACTACACCTCCACAGGAGTCGCACAAACTTCCAGTAGGGATGAATCTTCGTCTCCAACAAGAAATCAGTCCTTCTCCTACCCTGTTAGGCAGTTCATCTCTGCATGCGATGGAAAAGGATAATCTGCCTCCACAACCCATCTGCCACAAAGTCAGTCCTTCTCCATCAGAACCTACAGTCATAGATCCTCAAAAACTCCATCGACTACAGGGCACCTTATCATGGAAACAACGAAGATGCGGCGATGCAGCAGATCCAACCAGAATCGGACATGACATTTGATCTTTTTATGGCTCACAATGCTAATGTCCATTCGATTTCTGGTATGTTGTCACAGTCCTAGACGGCTACCTCCTGGAAGGAGTGTGGATTGTTACTTCTTAAGAACTCCTACTGCAAGAAAGGGCAGTCGTGCCGATATCGAGATCCACCGCCAATAGGATCATTCCGGGACGGAATGACTTTACCGAGGGGGCAGTGTGACGATAATAGATCGTACTGTTGGCGTCATCTATTAGGAGACTCTCCTTCTCGTACCAGTGACTCGCCTTCTAGATCTACGCCAGGTGACCTCAAATATTCTAGATGCCGCTTTGTCGCTCGCCAAACCTCTCTCGAAGCAGCGATTTGGAGTATATATAACTCGACGGCCGGAAGATGGAAGCACGGTGCGGGGTACATTAGAGTAGAGCGGAGTGGAGTGCAATCAATGGCGCGGCATAAGAATTAGTTAGACATAAATAGTGGTGTACATAAATGTTGTATCTGGTCAAGTAAAGTAAAGAAGTGCATTTATTTTTGTGGAATCTCGAGATTTAATCCACACCCAAAAGAACCCAGAAAAACACTACATTATATTCTGCGGTACAAGGGATTATATATTGAATGTATTTCGAATAAAAGACCATCCGCCTTTTGATGCACCAGGTGAGTATTCTAGAAATACAAGTTAACGAATGCAACAAATTCTTCAAAAGGCAACCCTAGCTTAAACACATACAGATGTCACTCTTTATTGACAAAGTTTAATTCTGGCAAATCAATATTCTCGTCTACAGCTTAGACTATGTGTGTGGTGTGGACATGTAATTATATTTTTCAATACAATACATCTGGTAGTAACAAACAGCATGTGACCACAAAGAATACTGCAAAGCTTGATCGTGAGACTGAAGAACTGAAACACGAAACCATTCCATTGGACGTTGGCAAGTTGATTCAGCAAGGGCGTCAAGCTAAAGGACTCAGACAGAAGGATCTTGCTACAAAAATCAATGAGAAACCACAGGTGATTACTGATGAACGGATTGCGAGCAAGAGGGTCAGCGTGTCGCGCGCGCCAGAAGGGTTACATATTTTAACTTTAATTAAGATTCCCTATTTCCAATACGTTTCTATCTATAGGGGTTCAGTGAATACAGTGTCTCGCAACTTAATCGTGGTATTATTGTCTCAGCCGTTACCTTACCCTTGATGGTAGAGAGTCTCCCCAGAAACAGCTGACTCAAGTCGGGATTATACACTTGTTGCCTCTTGGCCTACTGAGGCAAAAAAATGATTCCACCTGACAACGAACATGTGTTCCACAAAGACAACAAAAACATGACGAGATAATAAACATCCATACGAGCTTGCCAAGTAAGATAGACCTTTGGAAGCTTACGGTCAAGGACAATATACAAAATTTCTTTGTATTGATGAACATTGGTCAGAAAATGATCAAATTTAGTGCACTTGAATAAGTGAATTTTCACTGGTTTGTAGTATTTGCAGATCTGAGAGCAAGTGTGGTGGAACGGCCAACTTTGCCCATGAGTCTGTCATCTCCGAGGTCTGTCCTATCCATATTATCAACGAGCTGACGAGCTCTCTTTGGAATCTGTGATTGAATATTCTCCAGTTAAAATTCAAAGTTTTTGTCTGATTAATATATATATATATATATATATAACTTGAGACGTGGTCATTGTCGTCTAGACCAGGTAGGTGAAAAATTAAAGCTTCCGCCTTTTGTTGGGTACTTCGACAAAATTTAAGCAAAGAGGACTCTTTATACTTGTTTTAATTCTCTCTATCTTTCAATGGACTTTGCCATCATCATCAGTAGCTGCAATTACAATGATAACAGTAGCAACAAATGTGTAAAATGAATTTAAATTGACTCTACTTGCAGTAATATGTGAGGATGTTGCTAATTGTTGTTTACCTATAGGATGAGGGTAACGTCCAGTAACATTGTGAGAGCTGGATAGATGGTACAATGGTCAAAGTTATATAAAATATGACAAGAACAAGTTAAAAACAGATTAAAATTATTTAAAAAACATTAGAGCATTACATCGTGA